TCTCTACTCGGAACCAAACTCGCCATGTCATCCGCATACCATCTGCAGACAGACGGACAGACCGAGCGTCTTTACCAAATTGTGGAGCAACTCTTCCGCGCAGCCTGCAAGGACGAAATCTCCAAGTGGGACTTGCATCTGCCCGTCCTGGAGTTTGCCTACAACAATGCTACTCACGCCGCTACTGGACAGACGCTGTTCTTCCTCTGTTTCGGACGCCACCCACTCACACCTCAACAGCCAAACATACCAGCCACAGTCCAACCCGCTCATGATTTCATCACGACCATGCACAAACTTTGGGATCAGACCCACAAGCGCCTTCTCGACATTCAGCAACAACAGAAGCGTCAGGCCGATCATCACCGCACGGACCACACCATCACCGTGGGAGACCGAGTACTGCTCGACACGCGCAATCTTGACATCAGCCATCTCCCATCCAAACTGCGACCTTGCTTCTACGGGCCTTTTCTCGTTGAAGCACAGGTCACTCCTGTTACCTTCCACTTACGCCTGCCAGCTACATAGAAGATTCACAACGCCTTCCATGTCCAGCTCCTGAAGCCCTATCACGATCCCAACACAGTCTTCTCTAGACGCCAACCGCCGACGCCGCCGCCGCCCATCCTCGTCCATGATAAACCCGAGTACAAGGTCGAGTCCGTGCTTGCTCACCGTCGTCGACGGAATGGCAACGTGGAGCTTCTCATCCGTTGGAAGGGTTATGATCCTTCAGAGGATATCTGGGTCTCTGACTCCGAGATGGATCACGCTTGTCGTCCTCTTCGTGACTACCTTGTCAAGCAGGGTGTTACGTCTACCACCCAGCTTTGAGGGGGGAAGTGTGAGAGTACAACCCCGTTCCATTCCTTTCTCCTTTCCATTTCATTCCTCTTTTTATCCTGATTCATTTTGTCTTTATCTCATTCCATTTGGATTCCTATTCCTCCTTTTCCATAAACCTTTGGTTTATCCTGTTATTATCATTATATCACCGACCAGGCTCGGGATGTACTGGCACGCTATCTCTAGCGTAATCCTGCCGTAATCCCCCATAGCCAATAGCCTCGCATGGCTATACACAGGGTGATTCTATTTTCTAGAAGGGTCTATTCCCTTGGGATAGGATAGACCTGGTTACCTGATGTACAATGGAAGTATAAAAGCGCCTTGTATCAATTGATAATGCAACATTTCCTCGACACATTCGATCCTGTGACAACAGTGGAGCCACAGTAACAGTCCTTCGTAATGCTGGTACCCTTCACCCTCTCCCCGCCCCCACCTCTCTCCTTGGTGCTGATTCTAGCTCTATTCCCTGTCTCCACACCTCTACCCTCCCCTGTCCCCTCTTCCACTCAAGTACCGTCATTGGTTTACACATCTTCTCCCTCCGTACTAACCTCCTCTCCCAGCGATCCCTGCAGCAGGCCGGTATCACCACCGTCTTCCCAGGTCACCACCTCTCCCGTATTCCCTTTTGTCCTTGCTCCCGCCTACATACCCTTAAGGTTCCTCGTCTTCCCTTTGCCCAGGCAGTCTCCCGCTCCCTCCCCCCCCCCTCACATCCCTCCCCCTCCTCTCCCTTCTTCTAACCCAACCATTCTACCCTTTCCCCCTGACCCAACCTGCTCCTGCCGGTCCCTCTCCCATCCCACCGTCCTCCTCCACCACAGTCTTGGTCACCCCAACTTTGCCACCCTCCGCTTGACCGTCTCATCAGGCCTCCTTCAAGGTTTTCCTCTCACCCTCCCTCCCCTCCCTCCCTCCCCTGCCCCTCCTTGCTGCGTCTCTGTCCAGAGCAAGCTCAAGCAGCTCTCGCATCAGAGTTCCCCCTCCGCTGCCGCTCAGCTGCTTGATCTTGTTCACATGGACCTCTGGGGTCCCAGCCCCTCTCCTTCCCAATAGGGCCATCGCTACATGCTTGTTCTGGTCAATGATCACAACCGATATTCTTCTATCTCCCTTCTTCGCCCGAAGGATGACGCTCCGGCTGCGATCATCGCATGGCTCAGGCAGGCGAATACCCATTTTGGCCGCCCTGTGCGTCGCCTTCACTATGACAGTGGTGGCGAATTCCTTCACCCCCAGGTAGCCTCCTACTGTGAGCTTCATGGCATTCGCTAGACTCACACCCCCCCCCACTCCCCCCAGCAGAACAGTGTGGCCGAGAGCCGTGTTTGGGAGATCACCAAGATTGCTCGGTGTCTCCTCGTCCATGCCTCTTGCCCCTCTTCTCTGTGGGGCTATGCCCTCCTTCACGCCACCCTCCTTACTAACATGTACCCCCACCCCATCCTTCCCTCCACCACTCCCACCGAGCTATGGACGTCTACCAAGCCGGGCGTCTCCTCCCTCCGTGTGTGGGGCTCCAGGGTGTATGTCTTCATTCACCCTGCAAACCACCCCCGCACCATGGGAAAGCTCGCCTCCCATACCCTCCCCTGCATCGTCCTTGGTCATAACCCCTCCTCCCCGGACTACCTCTTCCTTCACCCCCCCTCAAATCGCTTCCTCCGCAGTCAAGATGTGGTCTTTAATGAGTCCACACCCTACTATTTCACTCCTCCCCCCACTGGCCCTCTTGCCCGTGCTCCCAGGCCCCTCACCTAGTCCGACACTATCCCACCCCCTCTTCTCCCCCCGCCCCTCCCATCCTCCCACCCGCTACACCTCCGCCACTCCCCGTTGCCTCGGTCCCCAACGCTTCCCCCTCCTCTGGTGACATATTTGACCCCGACCCTCTCTTCCCCCCCACCTCCCTGTCCCACTCCTCCGCTTCTGCCCCATCCCGTCCTCCCCCCTCCCCTCCTCCCCCCCCCCCCTGCGTCCCCCTCCCCCCCTGCGCCCCACCCGCTCCATCCTCACCCGGTATCCCCACACCAGGTCACGTGATGCAGTCTTAGGTGCCCCGTCTCCTGTTACCCTCTCTCCCTCTACCTTGCCTCCTCTCTCCACTCTCATGGACCTCCTCTTTCAGGCTGTCTTACAGAAAAACACTAGCCCAACCCTGCCGTCGAGCCCAGTGCAGCAGTCCCAACAGCAGTAGCTGCAGCAGCAGACCTACCCACCGCAGCAGCACCAGCAGCAGCAGCCGTCGCTCCTTCCTCACCCTCACCTGCAGCAGCAATAGCGGCAGCAGCAGATGCAGCAGTAGCAACCGTCTCAGCAGCAGCAGCAGCAGTCCTTCCGTTCATTTTCCACTCCTCCCTCCTCGAGAACTCCCATGAGGAGTTCCTCAACCTCCACCTGCATGATCCAGCCCTCCTACCCATCTCTCCTGACCTCAGCGGCACACCAATCTTCGCCTTCTCCTCTGCCCCCACCATCTTTGCCCCCGCCACGTACGAGGAGGCCATGGCATGCCCTAACGCCCACCTCTGGCTCGCAGCCATCCTCAAGGAGTTGGAGGCGTTAATTGTCGACTCCTCCTTTGTGGATGTGCCTCGCCCTCCCTCTACCACAAACGTGGTAAAAGGGAAGTGGGTGTTTCGGGTGAAGCAGCTGGCTGGCGAGCCGCCGTTCTACGAGGCCCACAACGTCGCCAAGGGCTTCACCCAGTGCTATGCTGTCGACTTCTTCGACACCTTCTCTCCCACCGCCAAGTCCGCTACCATCCGCGCAGTGCTCGACCTCGCAGCTCGCCTCAAGATGGTGATTCACTCCATGGACGTCTCCGACGCCTTCCTCCATGGCATCTTGCGCGAGCTCATTTACATGGAGTGTCCTGCAGGCTTCCTCCTTCCCTTTCCTTCCGACTCTGTCTGGCGGCCAGTGTATGGGCTCAAGCAGGCACCAAGGGAGTGGCATGCCAAGCTTGCTGCCACCCTCGCTGAGCTGGGCTTCAGCACCTCCCGCGTTGACCCCAGTCTCTTCCTCCGCACCTCCCCCTCCCCCTTTTACATCCTCGTCTATGTCGACAATGTGATCCTCATCACTGCTGACTCAACAAGCTCGAGTGCGTCAAGCGTGAACTTGGCAGCTGGCTCAAGTGTAAGGATCTGGGGGAGCTGCAGCACTATCTTGGCATGGAGATTACTCGCGACTGTGCAGCTCGCACCATCTCCCTCTCCCAGGGCCACTACCTGCAGCAAGTCCTGGAGCGGTTCGTTATGGCTCGAAGCAGCCCTCAGGTAACCCCTCTTCTTGTTGGGAGCGGCCTTATCAGTTGGCGCTCCACCCGCTCCTCCTCCATTGCCCTCTCCTCCTGTGCAGCAGAGCTGTATGACGCTACCATGGCTGCACAGGAGGCTTGCTGGCTCACATTCCTTCTTGAGGAGCTCGGTGCCCTTCAGCGTTGTCACACCATCTGGTGCGACAATGCCAGCACCATCCACCTCATGAAGGAAGCTGTGTTCCATAGGCGCTCCAAGCACATTGAGCTTCGTCATAACTTTATTCGCGAGCTCGTGCAGAGTGGCCACCTCCAGCTGGGCAAGATTGACTCTGCTGCCAATCCTGCCAACATATTCACCAAAGCCCTCCCCCACGCCGCCCACTCCTCCCTCCTTCGCCTTCTTGGCCTCGCTCCCCCCGTTCCCTCGTCCACCTCCTGATTCACGGCATCTAGTCTTATGCATGTTAGGGGGTTGTGTTGTGTATATTTATATATATATATATATATACACATCTGTGTGTATATGATTATACAATATGCATGCATATAATAGGAGGTGTAGTCATTATCTTTATTGGGGGGTTGTTGGTTGGGTTGACCAATCCCACATTTGGGTTGGTCAAGGTTGGATTTGGTCCTAGACATTTGGTTGGCACTATTCCAACCAAATGGTCCTAAAAACCAACCAATCACTAAGCACCACACTTTGTGGTTGCTTGCCTTCCAAGCAACCTCTCCCATTGGTCCTTATTGTGACCAATCGGAGAGCACAACACTTTGTGGTTGCTTGCTCTCCAAGCAACCTCTCCCATTGGTCCACTTTATGATAAATAGGAGAGCTTCCCTTCCAACTCTTCCTTGCTCCTTGTTTGTACAATAGAGACTCTTGGCTCCCTACTCAAATCATTCTTTTCTCCTCAAAGCTAGTTCCTACAACCCTTGTCTCTACTGTTATGAAAGAACAGATTCAGCAATTGTAGATGTGTTGTCTCCAGGGCTCTCGCTAGCCCTTTTTCACTTTCTAACTAATCCTACGGGCCCTTCGAGCAACCCTCTGTTAGAAACTGAGTCGCCTACCATTGATTTCAAAGGGCACGCCTACTATGCGACTTCGTAGAAGGGCACAACTTCTCTCTACGGCAGAAAGGGAAACTAACCTGAACCTTGGTGAACCGAACCTATCTGCGAGATAAACCTGGTGCACATGGTCATAATTGGGGACATGAGCAAAATAGGAGACAGTTAAGAGAACGTTATGCTGTAGGGTGCTAACGCGATATTGTGACAACGTTTGGCAGAGAACGTTCTCGCATGGTTCATTGAACTAGCATTAGGTCTTGCCCTTGTTGTACCATGTCCAATCTTGATTCTAGTGAATTTTGTGTGTATGCAAGCTTTGTCAAGCTACACTGATAGACACACAATCTGGAGGCAAACTTCTCTTTAGAGGACTGCAGAGCTAGTGCAGCTCCAATACTCTGCACCAGACACTTCCCCCAAAATCTCCCGTTATAGAAGAAAACTCTGCATCACCAGCCAGCAGCTGTCAGCGAGCACACCAGCTGGCTCGCTAGCCAGCAGCCGCCAGCAGCCGCCAGCCAGCTCGCCAGCACTAGCTAGTGCCCGCGTCAAAGCTATCCAACACCTTGTAGCCCACGCCAGCCAGCTCGCTAGCGTCAGGTCGCCAGCGCCATCCAGCTCGCCCGCTCGCCAGTGTCAGCTTGCCAGCGCCAGCTCGCCAACCCCAGCAGCTGGCTCCAGCCAGCTCGCCAGCTATAGCCAGCTCGCCAGCTACAGCCAGCTCGCTAGTTCGCTGGCTCACTAGCGCCACCAGCGCCAGCTGCTCGGTGCCAGCTCCAGCAGCCAGCAGCCAGCGCCAGCCACCAGCCTCCAGCAGCACACTGCCAGCAGCCAGCTGCCAGCGCTGGCTGCTACCGCCCACTGCCACTGCAGCTACCGCTGCTACTGCCGCGGCTACTAATGCCCGCTGCCGCCCGCTGCCGCCCGCTGCTGCCTAGTGCCTTCTGTTGCCGCCCGCCACCACGTAGTATTCCTAGCTGTCACCAAAGCCGCCACTACTACAGCCCCTGCCACAACCACTATGGCCTGCTGCCGCTTGCTGCCGCTACTGCAGCCGCTACCGTTGCTGACCGCTACCGCCACTGCCACAGCTACCCTTGCAGCTGCCGCTGCCGCCGCTGCCGTTGCAGCCACCACTACCGCCGCTGCCCTTGCAGTTGCCGCTACCGCCACTGCCACTACAGCGGCCGCTGCCGCCACTGCCTCTGCAGCCACCACTGCCGCTACTGTCGCCACTGCCATTACCAACCGTCACCTTCGGCCTCCAGTGGCCGGCCACCAGCCTCCAGCACCAGTCGCCAGCTGCCAGCAGCCGATCGCCGGCTCCAGCTGCCACCGGCGACCAGCCTCTGACCCCCAGCCGTCAGCCGCCAGCTGCAGTCGGCTACCAGCCATCGGTCGCCAGTCGGTTGCCAGCCTCGTGAGTCCCCCCCGTGCCCTAAGGACTATCATTCACCCTGTGCCGCCAGTCCTAGTGACTCCTAGCTTGCTCCTCGGCGTGCTTCTCCTAGTAGCTCCTCTCGCGCGTACTTCCTCCTCGATTTCTCCCCACTCCTCCTAGCCACTCCTAGCCTACCGCCTGCAGCTCACTAGCTGCTGTCCACTCGCAGCCAGCTAGCCAACGCTTGCTAGCTAGCCGCCAGCAGCGCTTGCCAGCTCGCCGCCAGCAGTGCCTGCTCTCCCGCCGCTAGCAGCGCCTACCAGCTAGTCGCCAGCAGCACCCGCCAGCTTGCCAGACAACCCACTCGTCAGCTCTCCAGCCTCTTCGCTCGCTAACTCGCTTGCCAGCTCGCCGCCAACGCGCCACGTCCCTGCCCGCAGCTGCCAGCTCGCCAGCACGTCAGCTCGCTAGCTCACTTCCACTGTGCCAGCTCGCCACCAGCCCGCCGCCAGATAGTCACCACTGCCGCCTTTCTGTCTCTCGGTACTGCTGCCGTCCACTTGCTAATAGCCGCCGCTGCCAAACCGCCGATCAGGCCACTGCTGCTACCTCTGTTAGTGCTTCTGCAGCCTCTCATGCCTCCCGCTAGTTTCCTCCTCGTTTCTACCGACGTTGGTACCGAGACATGGCGATTGATACGACATGTGAGGGGTTTAGGGAGGGAAAGAGGAATGGGAGGAATATTAGAGGAAGTGCTGAGGCAAAGTAGAGTAGCCTGCCAACATGATGTCATTGTCACTCATACTGTCGATCACTTGAGAGCAAAAGAAAAAAAGAGCAAAAACTTGAGTGACGACGACCCGTGCAGAACGGAGTAGCTCGTCTCATACATCTGGGACATGGTAGAGTAGCATGTCCGCCATTATGGTGTCCCCACGTGCTTTTATAACAGAGGACACTTGTAAGGCGAGAGTGTATGCATTCGAAGAGAGGGTTTAAGAGACAACAAAGTGTTTTGCCATCATGAGTTCTTTGCAAGAATTGACATGCCTGAGCACAATGCTTTGCTCCTTGTCCCTAGGCCACTCATCCAGCAACAGCAGATTCAGGCTCCCCCCCACCACCTAGTCTTCTTCCTGACTCCTTTCCCTCATGCCCGTACCAAAGATTTGGTCTGCAGTAACCACTTGAGGCACAATCCTTGGTCTCGTAAGCTATTCACATAGCAACAGCAGATCCAAGCTCCCCACCACCACCTAGTCTTCTTCCTTGTTTCCTTTCCCTCCAACCCGTAGCACACACCTGGTTGGCAGTGATCGCCTAATGCGCAATCCTTGGTCACGGATTCCGGTGGAGCCATTCTTCGAGCAACAGCAGATCCAAGCTCCGCCCCACCACCTAGTCTTTCTAATTCCTTTCTCTAGCATCACGTGACACGAATGTCTGGGTACCTATGCTCATGTGCGGCACAATCCTTGGTCCCTTGTCCCGACGGAGCCATTCTTCCAGCAACAGCATATCCAAGCTCTGCCTCACCACCTAGTCTTCCATGTTTCTTTCTCTAGTATCCCATGACACGAATGTCTAGGTACCAAAGCTCACATGTGGCAAAATCATTGGTCCCTTGTCCTTTGGCATAGCCATTCTTCTAGTAACAACAGATCCAAGCTGCTCCAGGAGGATGCTTCTGATGCGAGGCAAGATTCAATCCAGCAACAATCCTTGGTCCTTTGTCTGGGGCCATTCTTCCAGCAACAGCAGCCCAAGCTCCCCCCCCCACCCACCTAGTCTTCTTCCTGGCTCCGTCCGTCCTACCCATAATACAGATTTGGTCAGCAATGCTCACCCGAGGCACAATCGCTGGTCCATTTTCGGGGGCCATTCTTCTAGCAACAGCAGATCCAATCTCCACCCCACCCCACCCCACCCCACCTCATCCCACCCCACCTCATCCCACCACTTATTCTTTCACATTCCGTTCACAGGTAGCACGTAGATCAGAGCTTCTCTGGTTACCAGTAACACGCTTCTGGTGCTGACGAACTACGGGAGGTACGATTCAGACGGTGGGACCTTGGGTGGCAGAAAGTATGCTTGATCGGAAACCATCCACGGATTAGGGCAGCCAAAAAGACTATGCATCAACTTCGAGATAAGGAGATACCAAACCCATCACATTCAACAACTGGCATGTTGTTCGGGGTAGAAAATGTCAGGAATGGGATTCGAACCCATGCCCTTTCGGACCAGTACCTGAAACTGGCGCCTTAGACCAACTCGGCCATCCTGACTTGCTACATTGATCACCATTAAATTATATATACTAATTCCTGTTGGTTCCGGGTCATACTGCCGAAGTTTTCATCCAGAAGCAGCAGCAGCAGAAGTTCCAAGCTCTCTCTCCCACGCCACCTATCTTCATAATTCTGTTCTCTAGTACGCCTAGTACGAATGTCTGGGTACCAGCGCTCGCCTGAGGTACGATCCGCGACCTCTTGTCTCCAAACCCATTCATCCAGCAGAAGCAGGAGATCCAGATGTTCCCCGACCATCTTCATCTCATATCCACGATTCAGGCCCAATGCCGACCTGAAGCACGATCCATGGTCCCTTGTCGCCAAACCATTCATCCAACTGCAGCAGCACATCCAGTCTCTCCCCCACCAGATATCTTTGTAACGCTGTTCTACAGTATCCCATGGCACGAATGTCTGGGTACCAATGCTCACCTGAGGTAGGATCCCTTCTCCCTTATCTCCGAAGCATTCACCCAGCAGGAACAGCAGATCCACCACCTATCTTTGTAACTCTATTCTACAGTATCCCGTGGCACAAATGTCTGGGTACCAATGCTTACCTGAGATTTATTCTTGCTCCCTTACCTCCGGACCATTCATCCAGCAACAGCAGCAGATTCAGTCTCTCCCCCGCCACCTATCTTCGTAACTCCGTTCTACAGTATCGCGTGGCACGAATGTCTGGGTACCAATGCTCACCCGAGGTAGGATCCTTGCCCTCTTTATCTCTGAACCATTCATCCAGTGGCAGCAGCGGATCCAGACCTTCCCCCACCACCTTCGCTCTATGTTGACTCTTTTCCCTCATACCCGTAGCACACAACTGGACACCAGTGATTACTTGGGGCACGATCCTTGGTCCCTTATTGCCTTACAGAACAACAGAGCAGCAGCAGGACCAAGCTCTCCCGAAAATCTTTCGAGTTTCCTTCCCTAGCAACCCATACACTGTGACTGCTTGCCAGAGCGTACCAGAGGCATGATTCTTGGCCCATTGTCGCTGAAGCACTCATCCAGCAGCGGTAGATACAGACTCTCCCCCGCCACCTTCCCTCCATGCTGTGTCTGAATTGCCCTTGCCTTAAATAAGAATGGTGTACAAGCATGGCATGTGAGTCACGGATACAGCAAGGGCAAAGCACATCGAGTGGTCCTCATACCCGTGGCACATAATTGGACGCCAGTGCTTACCTAAGGCACAATTCTTGGTCCCTTGTCGCCAAACCAGCCATCCAGCAGCAACAGCAGCAGGTCCAAGCTTTCTCCCCCACCACCTTGCGATCATGCTCCAGTGACGGCACCTTGCCTGGTGCGTACACCTTCTCTGTATACCTGTCATAGATAGCGAGGGGGAGGAGGAGTGGGCCAAGGGAATTGTTTGGGTAACCGTTCATCTAGAAGCAGCAACCGCAAAAGCAAGAGTGTTTGTAATTGTCATAGTTTGTGTGGGGAGTGAGGGGAGTGTGGGGAGTGCGAGAGGAAGGCCCGAGTGGTACCACTGCTGTAACCACCAACACCACCAGCAACATCAGCAGCAGCAGCAGCAGCAACAACAACAACAACAACAACAGCAGCATGAGCATGAGCATCAGCAGTAGAAAATCCAAGCTCTCCCCGACCACTCACTTCAGACCTGCTGCAGAATCTCCACTCGCTAGATGAAATCAGACTCTATTAACATGGGGAGAGATAGGCGGCATAAAAAGAGCGGATTAGTCATATGTTGTACAAAAAGAAAGGAGACGCATATGAGATTCTAATCGAGACACGGAAGTTTAACTGGTGGACAGCCCCCTCACCTTGTAGTTAACAGCAATCACCACTCGTTGTGCAAAGGGACATGCCTTGTAGTGGTACAGCCTTTGCTGACCAGATTCAAACGCCTGACCCCCCTCCTCCCCTCCCCCACCAAAGCCCTCACACCTTGAAGTTAATGGTACAGGCTTGAGACACCGGGTGGGGGAAAGAGTTGGAAACGGGGAGGAGGGTTGGGGGGTTTATTGAAGAGGAGGGGGAGGCAACTGTTAAAAACTAGTAGTAGGAAGAAGAGGGGGGGGAATGAGCATGACAGACTGCTCGTGAGCCTCGGCTCATGAGGGTGCATTGCTCACGAAGGTGCACTGCTCGTGAGCCTTCTTGACTTTGGGTGACTTGCGTTGACTCGACCCCTTTGAAACTCACCATGTGGTGCCATCAAACAAAGCAGAGGAGGCGATCCTTTGCTCCTTGGTTCCAAAGTCGCCTCTACTGCAATCGAAGCAATCTTACCTTAGCCTGAGCCGTCACTGCTGCTCGCCTAGCCTCGCCATGCGCCTCTCGAAAACTTCATTGACTTCTCTTGACTTTTGTTTACAAGCTTGGACTCACCGCCGATTGTCTAAAGGCTAACCGAGTGGTGTCATTAAAGAGGGCAGGTGGGGGCAGGACGGACCTATAGCCCTCCCACACTCAACTGCGGGATGATCCCAATGCCCCACCATTAGTGGTGCCGTCAAAGGGGGCAGGTGGGGGCGATCTTGCACTTGAGGTTATGTTGTCGCCAACATTTTACGACTGTTCCCTGTTGACTCACGTTGACTTGCATCGGCCATGCAAAACTCACCTTATGGTACCATCAAACAAAGAGGGCTCACCATGTGGCACCATCAAACAAAGCAGCCTCACCATGTGGTACCATCAAACAAAGCAGCCTCACCATGTGGTACCATCAAACAAAGCAGGCTCTCCATGTGGTACCATCAAATAAAGCAGACTCATCATGAGGTACCATCAAACCAAGCAAGCTCACTATGTGGTGCCATAATAGAAAACAAGTCCACAATGTGGTGCCGTCAAACAAAGCAGGTCCACGATGTGGTGCCGTCAAACAAAGCAGGTCCACGATGTGGTGCCGTCAAACAAAGCAGGTCCACGATGTGGTGCTGTCAAACAAAGCAGGTCCACGATGTGGTGCCATCATATACGTGGCATACTGAGAAACAAGCCTTAAGATAAAAAGGTAAAATACCCTGACGACCCTGCACAGATGACCCTACGCTCAGGTGCTCCACTTTTGCCTCTGAAGGTGCTACAACCTCAGCTTGAATTGTGAGTCTATTATGGCCTTAATTGACTTTTGTTGACTGATGTTGAATAGCGTTGAGTTGTGTTGCCATGCGCGAGATATTTCTAGTACACACTTGTATTGTGTTTCTAATGAACACCGTTCCTTTATATTTCTTTTCGTATAAGTAAATATTGTTAGGCTGGGTATAGCCCAAGGATATTTTCAGAAGGCTCAGTCCTTGTAACAAAGTGCTTGATAGCACAGCGGAAGTCTTGAGTTGAACCCTTGTACTGTAAGGACAAAGGGGTACATTCCCTTTTACGTACACTAATATCGGGCAGGTTATTTGTCCTTGCTGTCGTGCCGACTCTTGACTCTTCCAATTCTGGCTTTTGGGTTGCATGGTCAATGGTATGCGATCGTTGCCATTTCGTAACCTCTGCGGGGTGTCGTCAACCTGTGTCAACCGTCGGTGGTACTGTAGCGGTGTTGACTCGGTGATCCTTGTTGTTACAGTCTTCGCATATTCGTACACTCACGCGAGACTCCGGACCGGAAATGACTTACGGTAGTTCTTTTATCATTTCCAACAAAGATTACACACATACATTTCCGTGTTCTGCGCGGAATCCAAAATTGTTGTCAGAAACGTGGAGATCTTTGGTGGTGATACTGGTAAGGGAACAGATTGTGAGGGTGCAAAATAGTAAAGGTCTACTAGGCGTAGTGAATGAATACAATTTGAAAAGTGGCAATTTTTCACACCTTAACCTTGCATCATTTTTGTCTTGTTCTTCGCTGTTTCATCATAACTACCGGTATTTGAGAAAAGACAGCCTCACAATGAATACAATCATGTGGCACTTTTAAGATAAAACAAATGTGGCTGTCTACACCAAGCAGTTTCTTCCTTTCCACCTTCAGAACCTCGTCTTGTATCTACAGCTATGTGGAAGAAGATTCAGCAGCTGCAGACTTCGTGTTTGCTACCCCAGCTCTCTCGAAGTACTTGTTATCCTGCAGTCGGGTCGGCGAAAAAACAATGAGCAAGACATGATATAAATGCGAATGAAACACAGCGAGGTGTGCATGGAAGTGTAAAATATGGGAGAGTGTGCTACGCATGCAGACACATGACAAGTACTTGTCACAATGTCACCGAATGCCATACACCCATGCATATGGGACTACATGCAGCAGAGAAGTGGCATGTACATGCAGCAGAAACATGTGACATGACGTGTACATGTCATGAAGTCATCACATGCCATGCACCCATGCATGTGTACTGCAAGTTACAACAAACCAACACACCCCCCATCCCATACACCCATGCATGTGTACTGCAATGCAACGCACCAGCATCTGCTGATAGGTGGTGATGATGGCGTCGCGCTCCATGCAAGTGTCTGTGTACACCTGCATGGTTGCTGCTGCCTGCCGGGACAAGAGGAGCACGGAGGGAGCAAGAAGAGGACCCGGGAACAAAAGAGGGCAGAAAGAGCAGAGCTAAAGAGCATATGGCACATCAGGCAGTGAAAATGGCACATCAGGCAGGGCAAGTGTTGTGTGTGTGCCTGGATGGTTGCTGCTGCGTGTATGTGCGACCAGAGAGCACACATACCTCCAAGCATCTCTCCATACCTCCAACCACCACACGTCATACCTCGAACCAACGCCCTAGGTTCGGCCGGCCTTTGGTGATGTCCGTGCCGCAGAAATGGTCAAAGGCAATGCGGAACCGCTCTAGGAAGGGCAGATAGGCGATGTCCACCTGATGGGAGAGGGGGAGTGGGGGAGAGGGGGAAAAAACGGGGGGAGAAGGGTTGGAGTGGAGTGTAGGAGAGGAATGAAGAGCCTTCTCATTTCTCTTCCATTTCGAGGGCTATGTCTGATTGGCAGAAATGGTCAGAGGCAACACGGAACTACTCTCGAAACGGGAGATATGCGGTGCAAACGTGAGGGATGGTTCAATCAAGAAAACAACGGAGGAGAGCAATTCTCAGAGAGAGAGAAAAAAAAGGGGGGGGAAGAAAACAAACAAAAGAGAGTAAATGGAGGCTGAAAAATGATCGTTTGGGGTGAACTCATCATAACAACTGATGCACCATGCATCATGCATCATGCATCATGCATCATGCATCATGCATCATGCATCATGCATGATGCACGACGCACACTATCCACGATGCACACTACGCATGCGATGCAGGAGGTTGAACAACAAAAAGAATGTGGAAATTGAGGGCACTGGGAGGGAGAACATACATATGAGAAGTTTCCAAGAAAGAACAGCCCCTTGCTTTGGTGTTGGGCCAAGCTTTTCTCCAACGAATCTAGATGTGCACCTGACAGTAGAATCAAATCAAATCACACCATGCCAGAGAATACGGAGAAGAAGCAATCAACCACAGGCATGCAATGCCATAATATGCTATGCCACCGCTTGATAGTGCTGAGAGAGTGCAGAGCACCCGCCATAACACTGGACGCCACGCAATGGTTCCTCACTCTCCCATAGCAGCCTCCAATTCCGCCTCGCCTCTTGTCTGGTAGTGCTGGGATTGGACAAAGTAGCCTTCCATCATGATGCCACCGCCATGTCATACCATACATACCATGCAGCCCATGTCATGCCATGGCTTCCCACTCACCCATAGGAGCCTCCACGTCCGCCTCGCCTCCTGTCTGGTCGTGCTGAGACTGGACAAAGTAGCCTTCCATCATGATGCCACCGCCATGCCATACCATACATACCGTGCAGCCCATGCCATACCATACATACCGTGCAGCCCATGCCATCCCATACATACCGTGCAGCCCATGGCATGCCATACATACCGTGCAGCCCATGGCATGCCATACATACCGTGCAGCCCATGGCATGCCATACATACCGTGCAGCCCATGGCATGCCATACATACCGTGCAGCCCATGGCATGCCATACATACCGTGCAGCCCATGGCATGCCATACATACAGTGCAGCCCATGGCATGCCATACATACCGTGCAGCCCATGGCATGCCATACATACCGTGCAGCCCATGGCATGCCATACATACCGTGCAGCCCATGCCATGCCATGGCTTCCCATCCCACTCACCCATAGAAGCCTCCACTTCCGCCTCGCCTCCTGTCTGGTAGTGCTGAGATAGGCACGAGTAGCCTGCCATCACGATGTCGCCACACGCTGCCACGAGGGTGGACGCTTCTGATGCCAGAGTGATGTCCTGCATGCATTCAGATTCAAAGAGAGGGATGGGCAGCAAGAAGAAGCCTCACCACAACTGGTCCGCACAATGCTTGGCACTAGATACCCCCAACCCCACCGAGTTTTCTTCCTGGCTCCTTCGGTGAATCATCCACAACATGAGAAACTTGAACAACGCACATATGCTGAGCGCACGAAAAATACTGTCAGGAATGGGATTCGAACCCATGCCCTTTCGGACCAGTACCTGAAACTGGCGCCTTAGACCAACTCGGCCATCCTGACACGTTGCATAATTGAACATTGCAAATACACAAAATCTTTGAGAGGCCCATGACTTGGAGTGTATACAGTCCAAATGTGTGGGTCGAGTAGTTGCAGTTCGCGCTCTCACCCACCATCTGTCTTCATGCTTCACCTCCCTAAAATCACGAGTTACGAGTGTCTGGTGACCAGTGCTTACCTGAGGTACAATCTGTAGCCTCTTCTCTCCAACCCCATTCATCCAGCACCAGCAGCTGACCCAGATCTTCCCCGACAATCTTGGTCTTATATCCACAATTCAGGTCCAATGCTTACTCTGAGGCAAAATCTATTGTCCCTTATCTCCAAACCCATTCGTCCAGGAGCAGCAACAGATCCACACGCTTCCTCACTGCCTTCCCACCATGCTCGTTTCTTCCCCTCATCCCCGTGGCACAGAACTGGACACTAGTGCTTACCTGGGGCACAATCCTTGGTCCCTTGTCGCCAAACCAATCATCCAGCAGCAGCAGCAGATCCAGGCTCTCCCCCACCACTTTGCCGTCATGCTCCAGCGCGGGCACCTTGCCCGGTGGGTACACCTTCTCTGTGTACCTGCCGTGATTTGAATGGGAAGGGGAGGAGTGAAACAAGGGAACCATCTCGGTACTAAGCAGCAGCAGCAACAGCAGCAACAGCAGCAACAGCAGCAACAGCAGCAACAGCAGCAGCAGCAGCAACAGCAGCAGCAGCAGCAACAGCAGCAGAAGGAGCAGCAGATCCAGACTCCCCCCCACCACTTTGCCATCATGCTCCAGCGCTGGTACCTTGCCCGGTGGGTACACCTTCTCTGTGTACCTGTTGTGGTGTGTGTGGGGGCTGAGGGGAGTCTGGGGAGTGTGGGCAGGTGCGGGAGGGAGGCATGGGAAGGGTCTGCAACCAGTGGCACCACTTCTATAACCACCAGCGACACCAGGAGCAGCAGCAGCAGCATTAGCATCACCATCAGCACCAGCAGAAAATCCAAGCTCTCCCGACCACATTCCATTCAGAATTGATCTCCGTTCTCCCACGCACCAGCAACGATTAATTTACAAACGACTCTTCTCCACCTGTAATCCTTCAAACGTTCCATTTAGCCTTGCTGCGGGGACTAGTATCCACTCTGCCGCAACTTAGCAACCCTTTAGATTCTTTCCCTCTTTTTTTCAACCATCTTATAGCGCTTACCATTCGGGCTTGCTGCGAAGACTTATCTCCACTCGCTCGATGAAATCAAGACTCTGTTCACATAGGGAGAGAGAGAAAGGCGACATGGAAAAGGAAGATTCGGCTTATGTTGCACAAAAGCAGTTTAACTGGAAAAGGCAAATTAGGTTTATAAGAAAACGTATGTGATTCCACTCTAGAAAAAGGCAGTTTCATTGGTGGACAGCCCCCTCACCTTATAGTTAACAGCAATCACCACCGGCTGTGCAAAGAGACACGCCTTGTAGTGGTACAGCCTGTGCTGACCAGATTCAAGCGTGTGGCCCGCCTCATCCCCTTCCCCCCCCCAAGCCCTCTTACCTTGTAGTTAACAGCAATCACCACCCGCTGTGCAAAGGGACACGCCTTGTAGTGATACAGGCTGGAGAAATGGGGTGGGGGAAAGAGAAGGAAACGCGGAGGAGGGTAGGGCGGGGGAAGGGGAGGGGAGGGGAGGGGGAGGGGAGGGGAGGGGGAGGGGGAGGGGAAGGGGAGGGGAGGGGAGGGGAGGGGAGGGGAGGGGAGGGGAGGGGGAGGGGGAGGGGAGGGGAGGGGAGGGGAAGGGGAGGGGATGGGGAGGGGAGGGGAGGGGGAGGGGAGGGGAGGGGAGGGGATGGGGAGGGGAGGGGAGGGGAGGGGAGGGGGAGGGGGGGGGGAAGGATGTTGAAGAGGAGGGCGAGCCTGCGAGGGTACTGTTAAAAGCTGGTAGGAGGAAAATGAGGGGGAGGAATGAGGAGCATGAGGGGGAGGAATGAGGAGCATGAGGGGGTAGGAATGAGGAATGGGAGGATGGCAGAAACTGAAGGAGCTGGTGAGCCTACCGTATTGTGTCCACCTTCCTTTTACTGTATCTGCTACCTTCGCCTGAGCCACTCCTGCACTGCAATGGTCCCTCATGCCTGGCGTTGGCTTGCATAGATTTGCGTTGACTGGCGTTGACTGGTCGCCTGGCCTCCATAGGTCCCTCGTGAACTTCTTTGATTTTGTTGATCAGCTCGGACTCACTGCCCGTTGTCTAAAGACTCACCACCGGGTGGTGCCGTCAAAGCGAGTATGGGGGCGATCCTGCGCTCAGAGGCTCCATCGTCGTCTCTGCGGCTGCTACAACCTTAGCCTGGGCTGTGAGCCCCGTGTGACCTTCATTGACTTGCGTTGACTTGCGTTGACCGTGCACAACTCACCGTGTGGTGCCGTCAAAGAGAGCAGGGGCAGGCGATCCTGCGCTCAGGGGCTCCACTGTCGCCTCTGCGGCTGCTGCAACCTTAGCCTGAGCCATCGCTGCTGCCCGCCTGGCGTTGCCGTGAGTCCCTCGTGACGTGGCACGTGGCACAGGGACGCGATCGGCGCGCAAGGAGACGCTGGTTGGAATCCCAAGTGGCGAGATAACGCTGAATTGACGGAAGGAACGGACGACAGTGAAATAGGGGGGGGGGGGGGGGGGGGGGAAAGGAAGACAGGTGCAGACCTTTCGGTGAGTGTAGAGATAAGTGATGGACGCGATAAAACATCAGTGCGAAACGCGTAGAAAGAACCAAGAGTAACCGCAAACGACTTAGCGATGCGAGCGCCGATCACTGACGAGATACCATGCACACGAAACGCACCTCGACGGAGGAATCCCGCGAGCAAAGATCTGAGACCCTTGATTCGCCGATGCGGCGGTGGAAGCAGCAGCGAGGCGTGCGGCCATGTCTCTTACTAAGAGTACTACCGGTAGGACTAGGCGCGGTGTTTGACAATGAGCTGTAATTCGTACTGGTCAGTCAACTGCTGGCTGATCAATCCTGGCTGGGCGGGTTGAAATGGGAAAGCGGAATTTGTACCCCACATTGCCAGACTCGAACTTCTGGCAAAGCTCATCGGTAACCTCGTCCGAAAAAAACTCCTAGGTACCGAAAGAGTGCATTCGTGCACGCACATTTCTGGCGAAAAAGAACCTCGGTGGGTAACGTACAGCCACGTGGAAGTTTGCACAACCACTCACTCATCCTCGTTTCGAGAGCAACCACCAAGGGGAACAAGTTTTGACCATGATTGGCCCCGATGCGAGAAGAACAAGACTAAACAAAAGCTGCCTACCTTAAACCACATTAAGAGAGATTTCCTATGTTTCATTAGAAGTGGCAAATGTAGATGACTACCCATCAATCAACATGTGGCCTAAATGGATCAGCAACTATTCTATACGGCGCCTCAAAATGCTCTCTACCACACAAACAAATGGTGTATAAGTTCGCATCTATCTCCGTGTTTGCCACTTGACCTTACCTACACCCCTCGACCAACACACCACAGCTTTAGGCGCCTCGAATTACACTAAAAAATCCTTTGCCGAATTAGTCCTTTAGAGGGAGTGCTTTATGGGTGTAGATGACGTCCTTGTCCTTGTTCACCACCTGGCCTGCGCCTCTCAGCAACCAGCGCGTTGTGAGAAGCCCCTCCACCCCGACAGGCCCTCTCGCATGGATGCGGCTCGTGCTGATGCCCACCTGCAACGGGAAAAATAGGGGAGATAGTGGCAGAAGGTTAAAAAGTGAGTGAGTCTGCCCCATACATGAAACCAGACCTCTTCACCCCCCCCCCAATTCCCTCAGACACCGATACGCCCACACCTTGGCGGAAGCTGTCAGAGAAGCAACAGCCCTCAACCCTTACCTAAGCCCTTCTCACCTCCGAGCCGAGCCCAAAGCGAAATCAGTCCATCATCACCTCAGCCCCTACCGCATCTGCCCTCACCTCAGCCCCTACCGCATCTGCCCTCACCTCAGCCCCTACTGCATCCGCCCTCACCTCAGCCCCTACTGCATCTGCCCTCACCTCAGCCCCTACCGCATCTGCCCGCACCTCAGCCCCTACCGCATCTACCCTCACCTCAGCCCCTACTGCATCTGCCCTCACCTCAGCCCCTACCGCATCTGCCCTCACCTCAGCCCCTACCGCATCTGCCCTCACCTCGGCGCAGAGCCCGAAGCAGAAGCTGTCGGAGAAGCACCGGCCCTTACCCCTCACCGCTATACCTCAGCCCCTCCCCCCATCCGCCCTCACCTCAGCCCCTCCCCCCATCCGCCCTCACCTCAGCCCCTCCCCTAATCCTCCTCACCTCAGCGCCGAGCCCGAAGCGGAAGCCATCGGAGAAGCGCGTGCTTCAACCCGTTGCGCATGGGGGTCATCCCCCACTCAACTCTCTCCTTCCAATCAGCTCACCTCGGCCCCGAGCCCCAAGCGGAAGCCGTCGGAGAAGCACGTGGCCTCAGCTAATAGCCCCTACGACCCTCCCCTCCAGACCCTCCCCCTCACCTCGGCCCCGAGCCCGAAGCGGAAGCCGTCGGAGAAGCGCGTGCTGGCGTTGTGCACCACGACCGCACTGTCCACGGACGCCAGAAACTTCTCGGCAGCTTCCTTGTCCTCGGTGAGGATGGCGTCGGTGTGAGCGCTGCCATGCGAGTGGATGTGCTGGATGGCCGCCTCCATGTCTGGCACGATCTCCACCGTACATTCCAGCGCCCCGTACTCGTGATGCAGATCAGGGGCCACAGGGAGGCTGAACGCCGAGGCGGCTGTTTTGCCTGCATACAGCACTATGCCTGTAAGGGGAGGGGGAGGCGATAGTAAGAAAGCATCAATGCCCTGCACGATCTCCACCGTACAGTCCAGCACTGCATAATCGTGATGGAGCTTTGGTGCCACAGGGAGGCACCGAAGGTATGAACATCCTGTGTCCAAAGCAGCTGCTCTTTTGCGTGCGTGAAGGGAAATGCCTGAGAGGGGAAATGCCTGAGAGGGGAAATGCCTGAGAGGGGAAATGCCTGAGAGGGGAAATGCCTGAGAGGGGAAATGCCTGAGAGGGGAAATGCCTGAGAGGGGAAATGCCTGAGAGGGAGGGGGGAAATGCCTGAGAGGGGAAATGCCTGAGAGGGGAAATGCCTGAGAGGGGAAATGCCTGAGAGGGGAAATGCCTGAGAGGGGAAATGCCTGAGAGGGGAAATGCCTGAGAGGGGAAATGCCTGAGAGGGGAAATGCCTGAGAGGGGAAATGCCTGAGAGGGGAAATGCCTGAGAGGGGAAATGCCTGAGAGGGGAAATGCCTGAGAGGGGAAATGCCTGAGAGGGGAAATGCCTGAGAGGGGAAATGCCTGAGAGGGGAAATGCCTGAGAGGGGAAATGCCTGAGAGGGGAAATGCCTGAGAGGGGAAATGCCTGAGAGGGGAAATGCCTGAGAGGGGAAATGCCTGAGAGGGGAAATGCCTGAGAGGGGAAATGCCTGAGAGGGGAAATGCCTGAGAGGGGAAATGCCTGAGAGGGGAAATGCCTGAGAGGGGAAATGCCTGAGAGGGGAAATGCCTGAGAGGGGAAATGCCTGAGAGGGGAAATGCCTGAGAGGGGAAATGCCTGAGAGGGGAAATGCCTGAGAGGGGAAATGCCTGAGAGGGGAAATGCCTGAGAGGGGAAATGCCTGAGAGGGGAAATGCCTGAGAGGGGAAATGCCTGAGAGGGGAGAGGGGAAATGCCTGAGAGGGGAAATGCCTGAGAGGGGAAATGCCTGAGAGGGGAAATGCCTGAGAGGGGAAATGCCTGAGAGGGGAAATGCCTGAGAGGGGAAATGCCTGAGAGGGGAAATGCCTGAGAGGGGAAATGCCTGAGAGGGGAAATGCCTGAGAGGGGAAATGCCTGAGAGGGGAAATGCCTGAGAGGGGAAATGCCTGAGAGGGGAAATGCCTGAGAGGGGAAATGCCTGAGAGGGGAAATGCCTGAGAGGGGAAATGCCTGAGAGGGGAAATGCCTGAGAGGGGAAATGCCTGAGAGGGGAAATGCCTGAGAGGGGAAATGCCTGAGAGGGGAAATGCCTGAGAGGGGAAATGCCTGAGAGGGGAAATGCCTGAGAGGGGAAATGCCTGAGAGGGGAAATGCCTGAGAGGGGAGGAGAGCAACGCCTTAGAGAGGAGGAGACGGGACGCAATATTCGGACGGCATGAACTGGCTGTGTCCAAAGCAGCTGCTCTTTTTGAGACGTCTCAAAACCAACCTTATATCACGTGTCCAAAGCAGCTACTCTTTTTGAGACGTCTCAAAACCAACCTTATATCACGTGTCCAAAGCAGCTGCTCTTTTGCGTGCGTGAAGGGCAACGCCTAAGAGAGGAGGAAACACGAAGCAATATTCGGAAGAAGGGGAAAGAGTTTGCATTGTACCTTGCATGTACTTACCGAGAGTTACCTCATATGCACTTACCTTACATGCACTTACCTCATATGCACTTACGTCATATGCACTGACCTTATATGCGGTTACCTCATATGCACTGACCTTATATGAACTTACCTCATATGCACTGACCTTATACCCACTTACCTCATATGCACTGACCTTATATGCACTTACCTCATATGCACTGACCTCATATGCACTTACCTCATATGCACTGACCTTATATGCACTTACCTCATATGCACTGACCTTATATGCACTTACCTCATATGCACTGACCTTATACCCACTTACCTCATATGCACTGACCTTATATGCACTTACTTCATATGCACTGACCTTATATGCACTTACCTTATATGCGCTTACTTTATGCGGGACACGCGTCTTTCATAGATATCAGTCCTTATCCTGAGGACGCCAGCCCAACACCCTGCAGAACATACCACTGCCTTTGAGATCTTAGCACTGCTGCAGCACCCGCCTTGGAGCATTGCAATACTCACCTGTATCACTGGCTTTCATGTGTGGCAGTGCAAAACTGCTCTTAGCATCACTGCGAAACGCACCATTGTCTTTGAGCTCTTGAATGAGCTCTGCTGCAGCTCCTGACTTCACAAGGTCGTCGTGGATCAGCAGGGTTTCCTATAACGAGTATATCACACGGAGAATGGAAAGCAACACGCAAGGCACAAGAAAAAAGCAAACGAGTACACGGTGCATGAGCCTTGTGAATTAATTGCGAATCCTGTAACAGCACAACACCCAAAGGAAATACAGAAAAGTGAGCATGCACGGAATTTCCATAGTCTCCTGTAACGAGTACAGCAAAACGGAACACACAGGGGGACAACAGAGACATGTCAATGACATGAGACATTGAGTCCACCTTACCATGGTGGTGCAGGCATCATCTCAGCATGGCATTGCATTATTCCTTTCCATATACTACATACTTCAGTACGCCTCACCATGGCAGTGCAGGCATCATCTCAGGGCGACCCTCTTGTGCACGTGCCGGAGTATCTGAAGCTGACTGAGGGTGCTACCCTGCCCTCCTCACCAAGGCGTTGCGAACACAATACCCTGCCACTGACTCCCCCATCACCACGGCCGTACAGGCGGCCGGGTAGAGCTGTCATGGGCTGTCATGGGCGTCCAGTGATGCCACTGTGGCTCACCATGGCGTTGCAGGCGGCCGGGTAGTCCATCTTGGCGTCCAGCACGATCCTCTTGGCCATCCTGAGGTTGGCAGCCCTGTCCACGTACACGTGGCACACGCCGTCCGCGTGGCCCAGCACCGCAATCTTGGTGTTGGATTTGATATGATTCACCAGCGCGTTGCTGCCCCGCGGAATCACCAGGTCGATCACGTCGTCCAGCTTCAGCAGGTCCGAGATGTCGTCACGCGTTGTCACCAGCCCGATGAGAGAGGGACCCACCTCTGCAGGCAGTGCGCTTGCGATCACCTGGTAGAGGGGGGGGGACAGAAGGGGAGGGACAGAAAGGGGGGGGGAGAGGGATGGGGAAAGGGAGGCGGTGCAGGAGGAATCACCAGGTCGATCACGTCGTCCAGCTTCAGCAGGTCCGAGATGTCGTTGCGCGTTGTTACAAGGCCGATCAGGGACGGGCCCACCTCGGGTGGCAGGGCGGATGCAATGACCTGGTAGCAGGGGAAACAGAGGGAGAGGGGCAGGGGATTGTCAAGAGAAGGGGCTTCAGCAGGTCCGAGATGTCGTCGCGCGCGAAGTAACGAGGTCATTGAGGGGCCCAAAGAGGGGCCCACCTCAGCTGCTAAGGCGGATGCAATCACCTGGTAGCGGGGCGGGGGGGGGGGGACAGAGGGAGAGGGACAGGGGAGTGGGTGGAGACGAGCTTCATCAGGACCAAGTTGTCATCGCGCAACGTCACCGGCCCAACAGGAGGGCAATGTCCTCGGAAGGCAAGGCTGAGGCTGGCACCTGAGGAATGAAGAGAGGGAAACAGGGAGAGATGTGTGAGAGTAGGGGACTACTGAGTACCTGGGCTGGGAGCCAGAATGGGCATTTTGTCATGGATGAGATTTGAAACGCCTGCAGGGAAAGCATAAATGATGGACACAAGATTGTGTAACGCCAGTACCTGGTTACCTCGTGGTGGTCACCTGAAGGTTGTTACCTCATGGCAATCACCTGATGGTGGTTACACTAGCATCTGGTCTGGTTACCGCACCTCGTGGATGATCCGGTTGGAGTTGAGTGCCTCCTTCCCTCCCTTGAGCAGCAGACCATTGCCACTGCGAATAGCAAGGGCTGCAATCTGAGGCCGCCAGGGAAAGGGGTGGGGAAAAAACAGGGCATGTGTTCTTTAAATTTCTGAAAAAAAACTTATTTCCTCACTGCCACAAAAGCTCCGTTCAAATGCCTTGAGTGGTATCAGCTATGGTGCCTGGCATGGGGTATGGTGCCTATGGTGCCTGGCATGGGGTATGGTGCATGGCATGTGTATCCATTGCTACTTGTTATTCCCACCTGTGGCATGGCGTCTGCCCTCTCACATGCGCCATTATTCCTTCCTAGTTTTCTTTTCCCCGTAGTACCCATCATCACCGCACTGCACCTGTGGCATGGCGTCTGCCCTTTCACGTACGGCATCATGCCTTCCCAAATCTCTTTCCCTATAATACCTATCATCACCGCACCGCACCGCACCGCACCTGTGGCATGGCATCTGGCCGAGCTTCAAAGATCACCAGCAGCACTCCCAGCGGCCACCGCTGCTTCTCCAGATCCAGCCCCTCAGCCAGCTGCGGGTGGGAGATGGGATGAGGAAGACCAGAATGAGAAACAGGGAGTGAAGGTTAGGTAGTGGGAAATAGTGCGAAAGAGCATGACCTTTCCCCTTTCCCTCCTCTCCCAGCCCCTTCCATGCTCTTTCCATTGCATCAAACTACACACACTCGAGTCCGTGCGAGCGAGTGCCTCTGCGATTGGATAAGGCATCTCAGCAACAGCTCAAAATTTGAGACGTCTCAAGATCTCCCATCCCCGTCCGTCCTCTCTCCCCACTACTTCCCACCACGCCCAGCCCAAGGAACGACACATACCTGGGTCCGTGCGAGCGTCTCTGCTATCGGATCTGGCATCTCAGCAATGGCTCGAATGCCCTCCGCCAGCTGCTGGATCTGAAAGCAGGAAGAATTGGAAGGGTGAAGAGGAAATGCCTTGTTCAGCAGGGCGGGCCGCGGGATATGATAGATGGGGAGTGGAGATATTAGGAGAGTGAAGGCACGGTTGTAGGCAACTCGGCAATGGTTCGAACGCTGTCCGCCAGCTGCTGAATGTGAAAGGCACGGTCGAAAGCACAAGTCATGACACAGGGGCGAAAGCACAAGTCATGACACAGGGGCGAAAGCACAAGTCATGACACACAGGGGAGAAAGGGGGAAGAATGGAGACGAAGGGAGACGAAGGCAAGAATAAGAGGGGGGCATGTCAGGGGGGAGACGGAGAAGGGGGAGCAGCGGGATTGGAACAGTGAGTGCAGGGGGGGGGGGGAGAGGGGGGTTGGCATGTCAGCAATGGCTGGGATGTTCTCAGCCGTCCATACATCATGGGGATTCTATTGAATCAGGTCTTCTTCCCTATCATCCAACACATTCATGCCAACAAACCACACATTGTTGGGGATTCTTCACCAACAAAGCACGCCATAATCAAACCACACGTTCATTCTGCTGCCCCTCCCTCCCCCACACAGCGGCTCACTCTGTTGGGTTTCAGCTTCAGCCGCTGCAGCAAGGCCGGCACAATGCCGTTGATCTCAGCCGTCCGTACGTCATGAGCATTCTGCTCGATGATCTCCGCCTCCCGCTTCACCAGCGCGTCGGCAACATCCAGAAGCACTTGCTTGCGCTTCTCAGTGGACATAGCCTGAATGCAAGGGAGCGAGGGGGGGACGGAAGGGGAGAGGGGGGAATAGGAAGGGGGGAGGGGAGGGAATTCTGCTCGTGAGCATTCTGCTCGATGATCCCTGCTTCCTGATTCACCAGCGTGTCGGCACTTGCTGCAGAAGCACTTCTGCGAGATCAACGGCATTGTGAGCATCCAGAAGCACTTGCTTGCAAGTGCGTCTGGATGCTCACGAGCTCACGTCCCTGGCAGCGCTTTCACAGATTTGACAATGGCCCACAGGTGCGTGTCCTTGTAGAAGAGCGTAGTGAGCCTCGCCTCAGCCCTGTGAGTGACCTCACCACACAAGCCTAACAGAATGCCTCACCTGCAGCCTGCGGCTGGAGTCCCTAGCAGCCACAGCCATGTCCCTGGCAGCGCTCTTCACGGTCTTGGCAACGGCCCACAGGTGCGCGTCCTTGTGGAAGAGCGTGCCGACCATCTCCCCCGCCAGCACGCGCAGGAGCGCGTCGCTGGACAGCCCACTGGCGATGACTGTAGGGACACCCCCGCCAGATGAATGGATCGCGGCTTCGACTTTGGCTGTCATGCCGCCACGACCCACACGACTCTTCTCGCCAAACCTGCAAGTTGGGGGAGAAGGGACAACGAGGAGGCTGGATCAATCGCCGGCCCACAGGTGCGCGTCCTTGCGGAAGAGCGTGCCGACCATCTCCCCCGTCAGCACTCACAGGAGCGCGCCACTTGACAGGCCACTGGCCATGACGTAGCCATGGATGGGCTCAGAGAGTCAGGGTCAGACCACAGGGCGGCTGAGCCCATGCTTGCAACCCTAACCTCATGAACCTTCAACCAAAACCGTTGCCCTGTGAACTTATCCCATTGAGTCCCCACGGGCGTTCTTCACCTAGGTGTGAATCAGCTCATAGTCCAGGTCAGAGGGTGGCTTGCTGTCTGGTTCTTACCCCATAAAGCCTATGAATGAACTCTGTGTTAACTTTTTAGCTGGATCCCCCATGTGCGGTCTTGACGTAGGTGTGGATGAGCTCAGACTCGGGGTCAGAGTTAGGGAGTTGGTGTCTGCTTGCAACCCCAACCTCTTGAACTCTAAACCCTGAACCTCCCCCTGTTAAACCTTACTTGATGGATTCCCCATGCGCGCTCTTGACATAGGTGTGGATGAGCTCAGAGTCGGGGTCCAAGGGTGGTTTAGTCTCTGCTTGCAACTCTAACCTCGTTAACCTTAAACCCTACGCCTTGGATCATTTCTCTGTTGAATCACTTGATGGACTCCCCATGAGCGCTCTTGACATAGGTGTGGATGAGCTCAGAGTCGGGGTCCGAGGGCGGCTTCGTGTCTGCTTGCTTCTGCAGAACCTAAACCCTAACCCCTGTATAAACCTTACTTGATGGAGTCCCCATGCGCGCTCTTGACATAGGTGTGGATGAGCTCGGAGTCGGGGTCCGAGGGCGGTTTAGTCTCTGCTTGCATCTGCAGCACCTAAACCCTAACCCCTGTACCCCTCCCCCCGTTAAACCTTACTTGATGGAGTCCTCATGCGCGCTCTTGACATAGGTGTGGATGAGCTCGGAGTCGGGGTCCGAGGGCGGCTTGGTGTGGAGCCCTTCAATGTCGGACAGCAGCACCAGGGCGTCTGCTTGAAGCTCGAGAGAAAGTAGAGCAGCAAGAGAATCGTTGTCCCAGAAGATACCTATGAGAGAGAGGAGGGCACGCGGAGAGGAGAGCGGGCAGGGAAGGGACGCTTGAGTCTCCAGAGGCTTGGCTTAAAGCCCCTCGATGTCGGGCAGCAGCACCAGGGCGTAAAGCCAGCTCGCAATTCGAGGGAGATCAGAGCTGCCAGAAGACGCCCTGATAACTGGGTGAGAGAGTAGGGGAAGAAAGGAGATGAGATGAGAAGCTCTCAGTTCAAAGTCAAGAGGGCAGCTTCGTGTAGAGCCCCTCAATGCCTGTCTGGCTGACAGTAACACCCGGGCGTCCGCTTGGAGCTCTAAAAAGAGGAGAGAAGAAAGAGAGTTGTTGTCCCAGTATGTGATATGGGAGTGGAAACGTACGTGTGATGATCAGAACAAGTGTCAAGCTGTGTAATAAAATAGAAATTATATACATAATACCCCCGTTCCTCACCTGTGGCATCCTTGTAGGGCGCCCTGCGAGTGGAGATGGCGTCGTTCTCATTGAAGACAGGCACCACACGGTGGTCCAGGAGGGAGGAGACTGTGGAGCGCAGCTGGTTGCGGAACTCCAGGTTGTCAAAGTCACGCTCGGTGACCAGCAACTGGGAGAGGAAGGGGGAGAGGGAGGAATGGGGCAGTGATGCGGTGAGACGGGCACCACACGGTGGTCCAGGAGAGAGGAGACTGGGGAGCGCAGCTGGTTGCGGAATTCCAAGCCGCACAGTCACCATCAACTGTCGAAGGCGTCGGGTTGGTTGGGGGCGGGGCGGGGCGGGATGAAAGGTGGGGGGTGGGGGGTGGGGGTGGGGTGAGAGAGCGAGGGGAGTGGTGAGAGGCGCCAGCGAGCAGGGTGTTTCTGAGAATTCTCAAAAACACGCTGCAAGAGCACGGTGGTCCAGGAGAAGCGAGGCTGTGCAGCACAGCTGACTGCAGAACTCCAAGTAGTCAGACGTGCACTCAGTCACCAGCATCTGTCAATGGCTGGGGGGGGGGGGGGGGGTAAGCGGCGCAAAGGAAGGATATGGGAGGGAGGGAGAGACAGGACGGGAAAAGGATAATGAGACGGGAATAGGGTGAGATGGGCACCACACGGTGGTCAAGCAGAGAAAGAGACGGTGGATATAGACATGGTGAGGTGAGAGACTTTGCTCAAAATCCACTTGGAGAAAGAGCGGCTCAATCTCCGCCCTCTGCTGGTTTTTGAAGCGCCTGAAAGCCTTGGAACAGGGACTCAACCTGTGCGCCCAGGTGTGCTTTTGAAGCGCCTGAAAGCCTTGGAACAGGGACTCAACCTGTGCGCCCAGGTGTGCTTTTGAAGCGCCTGAAAGCCTTGGAACATACCTGGGCGCACCCAACGTCCATCTGGTTGAACAGGGACTCGTAGAGAGCCATGAGCTCGCGCTGACTGACCAATGTCCGCACGCAGCTGCCCTGACCGGATCCCCCCCTGCTTCAGGCGGGGGATAAACCCCCTCACACATACCTGGGCGCACCCAACGTCCATCTGGTTGAAGAGGGACTCGTAGAGAGCCATGAGCTCGCCCTGCCCGATACCAGCACAAGGCTTGCCGTCAATCTCCCCTTGCGGCCTCTGCAGGTCCTTGAAGCTCGTGCGCATGAAGCGCTGGAAGCGCAGCTTGTGGCGGCCCACCCCTATGGCGCCGCTGGTCACCAGAATGACCTCTCGACCGTCCGCCAAGAGAGCCTCAATCTGGTTATAACGGGGATAGAGACGGATGGGCCAGAGGCAGTGAGTTTGGAGGTTGAAAATAGCAAACTGTAGGCTTCTGTAAGCCTCTGTAGGTGCTGAATACATTATACAGTCTTCCGTAGGGGACTCAAGAGACGCCTCTGCAGGTCCTTGAAGCTCGTGCGCATGAAGCGCTAGAAGCGTAGCTTGTGGCGACCCACTCCAATGGCGCCGCTGGTCACCAGAATGACCTCCCGGCCGTCCGCCAAGAGAGCCTCAGTCTGGTTGGGGAAAGAGACGGATGGACCAGAGGCAGCGGCGAGTTTGGACTTTGCAGAGAGCTGACGGGAGTAGGCTTATGTAGGTGCCTAAGGCTGTTCAAGGGCCTCGGGGGACTCAAGAGTCAAGAGTCGCCTCTGCAGGTCCTTGAAGCTCGTGAGCATGAAGTGCTGGAACCACAGCTTGCGGCGATCCACTCCGATGGCACTGCTGGTTATAACGGGGATAAAGATGGAACACAAGGTTTGGAGCTGGAAGCGCAGCTTGCGGCGACCCACTCCGATGGCCCCGCTCGTCACCAGAATCACCTCCCGGCCGTCCGCCAAGAGAGCCTCAATCCGGTTATAACGAGGATAAGGGTGGAACAGAGGGGTTGGAGCTGGAACCGCAGCTTGTGGCGACCCACTCCGCTGGCGCCATTCGTCACAAGGATCACCTCCGGGGCTCCTCCGGGGGTCCGATAAGAGAGCCTCCACCTGGTTATAACGGGAACAATGAGCGATGGATCAGAGACGCTAGAGATTTACGTGGAGATTACCCGTGTTGAATATTAGATCGCCACTCTTTCCGCTTTGAAGACTAAGACTGGGTAAGTGCATTGCTTGGCCTTTGCTTTGAGGAGAGACCTACTCGACCGAACGTGAATCGTCCATCAATTAAAGTCGGTTATTATATATGATCGCCAATCCTCACTCTCTGACCTACCTATAAAGGATAACCGCACGGCTCGCTGCTTCGCAGAGAGATCCCATTCGCCCGAGCGCTAACCCGTCCACGGGTAAGGCAGGATAATATTTCCGATCGCCCTAATCTCGCTCTATTTACGGAGAAAGGTATGTTCGCACGGCTCACCGCTTCGCAGAGAGATCCCATTCGCCCGAGCGCAAGTCGGCCATCGGGACGCGTCACCACGGCCGTTCCGACCTGAGGGGAGTTAAGAGGTAAGGACAAACGCCAGATGATGCGAAAGAAAAGCAGGGTCTTAATGCAAAGCGCATGTTTTTTTTTTTCCAGTAAAACCTGATAAAACAGCCTATTATTCGGCTAAAAACCTACATTGTCGCATAAGAACCCGTGGATCATTTAGTACGCCCTAAAATGAGCCATACGTACAGAACTCTACTAGGCAAGCGCATCTGGCGCACCTTGATCACGATCCGACGAGCGCCTTTTAGCGCTTGGCGCGCTGCAGCCTCGCCTGGCGACGACATTATTTAAGACTTTAACTGTAGCGAATAAGAACTACTAGATCTGCCTGTTGGCGCTAGTCCGCAGGTCCAGGGAGACCTCAAGAGCTGTTTCACAGCTCGGAATAGTCAAGAACTGAGGCCCTACCGACAAAATGCGAAGAGAAAGGGAGGATGGCGACTATTCCCCGCGTGTTCCAAGTTTCCTGGGCACGAGGCGGAAAAATATGAATGAGCCTTCAGTTCAGAAATCCTGGGAAATGTGTAAGCCACGTGGCGCCGCTTACTCAAGCCGCTCTGATTGGTCAATAATCGTCAGATACTATTGGTGATGATGGAGAGAGGGTTTAGCGTTGCATCAGCACCATAGCATTGTTCTGCGCGTGGGAAATGGATTTCCATATGGGAAATCGATCAAGTTATCGAAGCAGACTGTATACGGTAATTCTCAGTTTCGGTGGCGCGAAACTAGGCGACCTTACATGACCCAATCCCAAGGCTCGGGCTTACGTGTATCCTCTTTTTGGATAACACCAATTTTTATTGGTACACGGTGGCAGAATTCACTTCCAAGCACCTGGAAAGTCGCAAGATCTGTCATCAATGCTGTGGTGGCGGCATCGAATATCCCACGCACCAGGCGTTCCCCCAATGTCGCCATTCGAACTGGTCGCCGCACGTCACCCAACATCAAACCATAAGAGCCCTTTGAAACCCTCCGCACCTCACCGACCAATGCCACGGACCAACTTTCAACCACCAACCAACCAACCAAGGCACAAGTCCCTTTCTCCCATAGCACGGGGTTGTTAGCTCGGCAATCCCAAGCAGGGCATATGTTATCAGGGCATTTGCCCTGAATTGACTGAAATTCTAAGGTAGGTTTCAGACCATTTCTGATTTTTTCCGGGTTCTTTTTCAGCCAACTCTGACTGATTCCGGGAAGTTTTCAAGGCGACCCTGGAAACTCCGAGAAGATTTATCGGTGACACTGAGTTTTTCACTACCTATACCTCCCCCCTTCCGGTGCCCCCCCTAGAATACAAGTTTCTCCCGCTCTCCTAACACCTGTCTTCCTAGTACCCAACCACCGGGATGCTAGTTGGGAAGGAGTACTCCCCACACATCCCCAGAACACATGTGACGCGGATGAGCCACAGAGAGTGGAAGAACCTCAAGTAAGATCCTTGAAAATGTGCGCCCTCCGAGCATTTCTTCTGCTGGCCCTGAAAAAACAGGGTAGTGCAGATTCAGACCCCGGGTTTCCAGGGTGAATTTTGAAGGGAGACCTGAGCGCCAGAGTTGTTCAAAAACCTAACATAAGCCATGATCCCAAGACCCAAGTACCGTTGGGGGGGGGGAGGGAACAGGCGGGAAGTTCATCATCATTCACATCTTCCCATCATCCACCCATCTCTGCTGTCACTGATACATGCTGCCTGTGTGCCTGCTCCTAGATAGTGTCACTCCATTGGCATCGCTCTGCAGCCGTTCCGTGACTAGCCTAGAGATACACATCCAAAGCCTTTGCCGTCAGGCTCTAAGCTTCCTTCGTAGTTCCACGCCGCGGTGAAACTCGCAAAGCCCAAGTTTGAAACTATTTTTTGCATTGTGAATTGAGCACATCTATCAGCAATGTCTTCTCCCGGCGAAGCGGCTGCTCGGCACGCGCTTAAGAATGCGCGACGCGTCGTCATCAAGGTGACAAGCAACCACTTAAGCTTCCTCAGAATCATCTAAAACGAGTCTTATATCATATCCGTGTCTGAACTTCGAAATCACATCTGTTATGAAAAATATACTGTCAGTGTGCGTTGCAAAGCATGATTTTCAAGTTGCTCCACTCTATCTGTTGCTTCCGCCTCGTCCAATTTCAGCTCGGAACAGCTGTCGTCACCCGACCTGATGGCCATCTTGCAGTTGGACGGCTCGGATGTCTTTGCGAGGAAGTACGTACGAGGCCTTGAAGACCTCAGCATCTGTTTCACGATTTGATACTTACCAGCAATTCTGCAAGTAGTCGCTCTGTTTGTTCCTTTTGGCCTCCTCCATTCCCAGCATTTTTGCCAGTGGACGCACAGTCCGTTTCATCATGCTTTGAGCCGTCTCAAGCTAGATTATCATCATGCCGCCATTTTGGCCTGTGCCTCTCCCACAGGGTGAGGCTCGTCTGTGCGAGAGCCGCGAGATCATCATTGCCACCAGCTAGTCCCTCTCCGTGTTTTAAGGCTTAAAAAAAAAGACAAATTGTGACCGGAAAAGCCAAATCTGTTTCCTTTTCTTCCTCTCTCACAGGTCGAGGCTCTTCTGTCCGAGGGTCGCCAGGTGATCGTCGTCACCAGCGGATCCGTCGGCGTGGGCCGGCAGAAGCTTCGCTTCCAGGGCTTCATGCGGACGAGCTTCAAGGATCTTCAGAAGCCGCAGGCGGAGCTCGAAGGCAAACCCTGCGCCGCCATTGGCCAGGGCGAGCTGACGTCCCTGTACGAGTCGTTGTTCCATCAGGTTGACGTCGGCTGCGCTCAGCTGCTGGTAACCGAGCGGGAGTTCGCTGACCTGGAATTTCGCGACCAGCTTCGCAGCACTGTGAATTCCCTCCTGGACCATCGCGTGGTCCCCATATTTAACGAAAACGATGCCATTTCGACGCGACACATGCCGTACAAAGACGCGTCCGGAATCTTCTGGGATAACGACTCCCTGGCCGCACTTCTATCTCTCGAGCTCGAAGCGGACGCTCTTATCCTTCTCTCTGACATCGACGGCCTTTACACGGGCCCTCCGACCGACCCCGACTCTGTGCTTATCAACACGTACGTGAAAAACTCACACGACGAAATCAAATTCGGGGAGAAATCGCGCGTCGGAAGAGGCGGCATGACGGCTAAGGTGGACGCGGCTCTGAAAGCGGCGATGGGAGGAGTGACGACGGTGATCGCGAGTGGGCTGTCGAATGACGGCGTTCTGCGGGTGCTTAGGGGCGAGCTGGTGGGGACCCTGTTTCACAAGGACGCGCATCTGTGGGCCGTCGGCAAGTCAGGGAAGAGCGCCGCTCGCGACATGGCTGTGGCTGCGAGGGACGCCAGCAGGAAGCTGCAGGTATGCAATAGAAAGGTAACCAGGTAACCGGGTAACCAGGTTGTCGTGGCTGTGATTTTAATTCACTGCTCAGGTTTAAGGCTAGACTGTAAAGCTGGATTTATTCAAAAGTTCTGGTGGAGAGTTCTGATTGAGTTGACGTCATATAAGCTGCAGCGGGATCCGACGCGTGGTTAGCATCGCTTCATCTGTGTCGTAATCCTTAATGTTGCTTCGGGTTTATCGTCCTCCCTGTTTCATGGGATCGCCCATGGTGCAGGCTCTGTCGCCCGAGAAGAGAAAGGAGATCCTGCTGAACGTGGCTGACGCCCTGGTGAAGCGGGAAGAGGAGATCATTGACCAGAACAACCACGACGTGCGGCTTGCAGAGATCCATCGCGTTGCTCCTGCTCTCATCCAACGGCTGAAACTCAAGCCTGGCCGGGTAAGTGAATTCCAACAACGTGAGAATCAACTTAGCGCAGTGGGAATTTTTCTAAACGGAATCTTTTAGTGCAGCATACTTGTAGTGGGGGACAACCAACGCCAACTCGCCCCTTTCAACCAATGGCATCTTCCCATTATTGTTTTCAGATCCGCAGCTGGCGCAGGAAATTTGGCCATTGCTGAGATGTCATACAACTGAATCCCCATCTCTCCCCCCCTCCCCCCCTCCCCCCCCTGCTGAACAATGCAATCTCTCTTTACCGTTGCAATTCCTGCCGCCTTCAGATCCACCAGCTGGCGGAGGGCATTCGAGCCATTGCTGAGATGCCTGATCCGATAGCAGAGACGCTGGCATGCACGCAGGTGAGTGAGGAGGGAGGGAGTGAGGGAGGGCGTTTTTGGGGCCCTAGATGCTGTGACACAGGCAAACGTGAATAATGCCCATCCCATACACATAACGTTAAACTAAAGAATTGGTGTAACCAATAAATGTTGAGGAAGAGGAGGAGGAAGAGACATCCACAAGGGACTTCCGTATTTCATTCTCCCCCCCCCCCTTCCACGGATCCCCCCACGAATCCCTCTGCCACCCTCCCCTCACGAACCTTCCCATGAACCCCCCCACAAATTTCCCACCAGGTGGCAGAGAGCTTGGTGCTGGAGAAGCAGCGGTGGCCGCTGGGAGTGCTGCTGGTGATCTTTGAATCGAGACCTGACGCCATGCCACAGGTGAGAATATGCATGCAGACACCATGTGCCGTGCCACATGTGTGATTATGCATGCAGGCACTGTGTGCCGTCCTATAGGTGGGGAGGGACGACTAGCAATGTCACAAATAACGCATCTTCCTTCCTTATGCCATCAGCTCGAAACTTGATACTCTAAAAGCGTTCATCATGTCGAGTTGATGGTTCATGGCTCAGGCCTCGCGTCCATGTTTCATGACTCGAGTGCCTACGTCAACAACCGTACTTGGGTCATGAACCATACCCATGTCACAGCCTATCTACTTAGGCCGAGTGAGCCCAATGCACAGGGAGAATGCGGTCCAGTCATGGCTCCGGCTGGGGAAACACCCGGCGTTTAAGTAGTGTTTCCCCAGCCGGGAAACTCTCGCCTTTTACAGCAGATGCCAGATGGGCTGTGCTTCTTCTCCTGTTGCCTCCCTAAGTGCCCTGCGCACATGCGAGCCTGATTTCTTTACCCTGCTTTTTCCCCACCCCTTTCCCTGGCGGCCTCAGATTGCAGCCCTTGCTATTCGCAGTGGCAACGGTCTGCTGCTGAAGGGAGGCAAGGAGGCACTCAACTCCAACCGGATCATCCATGAGGTAAGCACCATGCAGTAACCAGATGCTAGCGTAACCATTGTGAGGCAACCACCATGTGGTAACCAGTAACTGATGCAACCACCTTGAGTTTGCCACCATGAAATAACCAGCTACTGGTGTTGCAGAACCTCACACCCCTACAGACACTGAGACACCTCTAAGCCCCCTCTCCTCCTTCCCCTTCGACCACCAGATCATCTGCATCCGCCCTCTCATCCGCCCCCTCACCTGGTCATTCGCTCACTTCGCCCGTCCCTGATCAGCCCTGTAACATCACGCACTGACATATTGCTGAAGCTCCTTTTCCTTCCACTCCCCAGTCCACCTCCCTCTGTTCCCCCCACTACCAGGTGTTAACAAGCGCCCTGCCAGCCAAGGTAGACCCGTCCCTGATCAGGTTGGTGACATCGCGCGACGACTTCTCGGATCTGCTGAAGCTCCTTCCCCTCCACAACCCCCCCCCACCCCCCTGTCCCTCTCTACCCCCTTTCCTCAGGTCATTGCATCCGCCCTGCCACCCGATGTGGGCCCGTCCCTGATCGGGCTGGTGACAACGCGCGACGACATCTCGGACCTGCTGAAGCTGGACGACGTGATCGACCTGGTGATTCCGCGGGGCAGCAACGCACTGGTGAATCATATCAAATCCAACACCAAGATCGCGGTGCTGGGCCACGCAGACGGCGTGTGCCACGTGTACGTGGACAAGGCCGCCAACCTCAGGATGGCCAAGAGGATTGTGCTGGACGCCAAGATGGACTACCCCGCTGCCTGCAACGCCATGGTAAGCCACAGTGGCATCATTTTGTGCTTATGCGGTTAAAGCCCATGACAGGAGGATCGCCCTGGACGCCAAAATGGACTCCACGGCTGCTTGTAAGGCCGCGTGGTGAGGGGGAGTCAATGCCATGGTTAAGCACCGCCACCAGAAGGTGGTGAGGCGCATGCAACGATTGTGATTCTTGCTGGATCATAAGCTCTCTCAGAAGTGATTGTAGTCACGACTTTCATATCTCGCTGCTCCACCCATTGCCATGTGCGACGTGGAATATGCATGGAATGCTGCTCATTCATGGAGACGTCTAGGCCGTCTCTGGCGTCACTAGTAGAAGCATGACATTCATACTCGCTAAATCCACCCAATGTTATGCGCAATGTGCAGGAAACCCTGCTGATTCATGAAGACCTCGCCAAATCAGGAGCGGCAGAAGAACTTATTAAGGAGCTCAAGGCGAATGGTGTGCAGCTCCCAGCCTATGGCTTGCTCTTTCTACGTCGCTTGCTTTTACATGAACAGCACATACTGAGTTTGATACATGAAGTATTTTAAAAGATAATACATTCATGAAACCCATCTTTTTGTCCTCCCTTCCCCCCTTCTCCTTCCAACTTAGGCATTGTGCTCTATGGGGGCAAGGGGGCAGCAGCACCCTTCCACCTGCCTCCTGCAGCCAATCTGCATCACGAGTACGGGGCGCTGGAGTGTACGGTGGAGATCGTGCCAGATATGGAGGCGGCCATCCAGCACATTCACTCGCACGGCAGCGCTCACACCGATGCCATCATCACCGAGGACAAGGAAGCTGCCGAGAAGTTTCTGGCGTCCGTGGACAGTGCGGTCGTGGTGCACAACGCCAGCACTCGCTTCTCCGACGGCTTCCGCTTCGGGCTCGGGGCCGAGGTGAGGGCGGATGGGGGAAGATTTTTTTTGTCTTCAGTGAGGATTGAACGACTCGCGCATCCGATGGCTTTCGCTTTGGGCTCGGCGCTGGGGATGGGGGAATGAGGTGGCTGTAATTTGCAGACAATTTTCAACTCAATGCACTACCCAACACACGTCTATGCTTCCCTCCCCTTCACTCTGCAGGTGGGAGCATCAGCATGAGCCCATCCATGCGAGAGGGCCTGTGGGGGTGGAGAAACTTTGTGGTACAAGTGGTAAACCACTTGAGAGCTAATTTGATCCCACTCCTGAATAACCCTTTCCCGTTTCTCGTGCAGGTTGGCATCAGCACAAGCCGCATCCATGCGAGAGGGCCTGTCGGGGTGGAGGGGCTTCTCACAACGCGCTGGTTGCTGAGAGGCGCAGGCCAGGTGGTGAACAAGGACAAGGATGTCATCTACACCCATAAAGCACTGCCAGTAAAGAAGGATGGTGTGATATCCAATGGCAACTGAAGGAGCAGTGATGGCAAAATATTGGGCAGGTTGAAAAAGAGGAGGGAGAGATGCAACGCACTATTTTTTTATAAGTATGCTGGATGTTTCTTGAACTGGCAAGTACCCACTCAAATCATGTTCTGCATATTGTGTTAAAGTAGATGCGTTGGGATTCTTGTTTGAGGGATTGATTGTTTTATTTACAATTCAGCTGCAGTAGGTTGGTGTTCTTCAGGGACAAACCTCAGAGATCCTCGATGTCCACAAGTTTCATCGCGTCATTTCCACCACCGATTATCCCGCGAACTGGGAACAGATTTCACCTTTCCCGCCATTTGTTCTCGTCCTGTCAGTCAGTGTTCCTGTACCTCAGAGAACATCACCCCAGAGAACATCCCTCTCCCTGGCCTCACATTCATCCCCGCAGGAGTTCCTGCTTCAGCCCTAGCGTCCAGTCCAGATGGACCAGGAGCTTTGGTGGAGATGACAGGGGGGAGGTCCAGTCTGTCACAATGGGAGGGATATGACGGAACAAAATGGGAGTTGATGATGGGAGAAAATATGGTTGGGAGGAGAGAAGCGGAACGGATCACCTGGGACCAGAAGGCTGTGAGGGTTACCGTGACTTCCACTGACTTGAGTGTTCTCTTCTTAGCTAGTTGCTTAGCATTTCGATTTCGCATATGCGACGCTGGCATTGAGGCATTACTGGTCGCACAGGCAGCCATTACTGGTCGCATTACTGTTTCCTAAGTTTTCCTCTTTTTCCCATTCACATCTGCCATTCTCCTGAACGAAACCTGTTGTGTTTACGACCCTGCTCAGTCACATTCAACTGCGAAACTTGCGGTGCTCTTCAAGCTGACAGATCCTTTCTCTCTGAGCTGAGAGACCTTTAATCTCTCAAATTCATTCACCATTTGGCCTAAGATATATTTTTTTCACTTCGTTGAGGCGATGGATGCGCATCATTCATCCATTCCTGCTACGTCACACCATGCCACGTCACATCACGCCACGTCACACCGTCCCGCACCTCGCCCTGCCACGTCACACGAGTCCAGGACGCATCATGGCTCCACGCAGCATCCCGAATCCCACCATGCCACATCGGACGATGCAACTGCACACCATGCCACGTCGCGTCACACCACGTGTACTCCCACGTCTGACCACGTCACTCCGCACCATGCCACGTGTCATTGCAGCAGCTCTCATGATCTGAAGTCCGACAATGCTCAATCACAACATGCAAAGGCTCACCAGAAACGAAGCAGTCACTCCCACTCTCACACTAACTCTCGCCCTCACTCTCACTCTCACCCTGACCCCCACCCTCGCCCTCACCCTCTCTCTCACTCTCGCCATCTCACTCACACTCGCTCTCACGCTTCAAAGGCCACCCGACTGGCCCGAATGGTTCGGCTCGTGCGAGCATGCACCGCGAAATGCCGACAGCTCGTGTGGGAGGCACCAGGAAAAGCAGTTTCTGAAGCTGGGAAAGCAGCGTATCAGGCCAGGAACGTCGCTCATAAAGTGTCTGAAGCAGCAGGTGAAACCGCGTGCTTCCTCTTCTTCCTCTGCCTGGACCTCCTGGATTTTCTGCTCTGCTATGTCTTCTGGTTCCTCGACCGGATGGCTGGAGAAAACGCTCCTCCCTGCTACTGCAACCGCAGAAGGAGCAGTAGCAGCGCAAATCCCCGTGCAGCCGTTTCTGATGATTCCGGCTCCACAGTTAACGGATCCGTTTTCTCATCCGGAGTCATGCCGGCGAGCCCTATTTCACCCAGTATCGCCCCGGATCTGTTTCACCGCAAGTGGCGGGTGTCACTCAACCTGGGGGCGTTCCGAACGGCGAGATTTGCGCTCCCGCTCTCCCTGGACTGGAGAACGGAGCATATTCTGCGGTGGTGTGATGCGGTTCAGGTCCGGCAATGGCTTGGGTCGGAGCAGAGCAGGCAGAAAGGAGGATGGAAGGGAGAGAAGCAGCTGGAGGGGAACCAGGAAACGAGGCCTCGTTTGAGCAGCCCTGTTTTTGTTGGGGAAGGGGAGGCTGTAACTGGTGGCGGTGTTGTTGTTTGTGACGCTGCTGGCGTGCGGAACGGATCTCTTGACCGCACTCACCTTCCGAGACTCGTCGGTGGCGTTTCTGGTGCTGTTGGTGCTGCTGCTTGTGGTGGTGGCGATTCTGATAATGGTGCTGATGGAAAGGTTGAGGATTGCCACCCGCTGTGGTCTTCTCCGGACGCATTGACTCATGGCACCATTCGCCACCCTCATTTCTCCCTCCCTCACCACCAACATCACGGCCAGCTGCAGCAGCAGCATCACCAGCATCATCCTCAGCAACATCACCAGCAGCAGCAGCAGCAGCAGCAGCAGCAGCAGCAGCAGCAGCAGCAGCAGCAGCAGCAGCAGCAGCAGCAGCAGCAGCAGCAGCAGCAGCAGCAGCAGCAGCAGCAGCAGCAGCAGCAGCAGCAGCAGCAGCAGCAGCAGCAGCAGCAGCAGCAGCATCAGCAGCAGCAGCAGCAGCAGCAGCAGCAGCAGCAGCAGCAGCAGCAGCAGCAGCAGCAGCAGCAGCAGCAGCAGCAGCAGCAGCAGCAGCAGCAGCAGCAGCAGCAGCAGCAGCATCAGCAGCAGCAGCAGCAGCATCAGCAGGAGCAGCAGCATGATCAGCGTCCCCTTCGGCAGCACACTCCCCACCATTCCCTCTCCTCTCCCTGCCACGTGTCACCTGCTGGTAGGACGTGTGATGCAGAGCATCGCACTACAGGCAACCACTCTAGAGCTGAAGCATCTTCAGATTTGGAAGCAGGGGAAGTAGCACGCACAAGTAGGGCAGACGGAAACGCAGGAAGAGCGGGGGCAGGAACTGCAGCAGAATCAGCCGCAGTAGCAGCAGGATTAGGAGAAAAAGCAGTAGCAAGAGCACCAACGGCAGTAGCAGCACGCACAAGTAGGGCAGACGGAAACGCTGGAGGAACGGGAGCAGGAGCAGGAGCAGACGCGGTAGCAGCACCACCACCACCACCACCAGCATCAGAAGTAGTAGCAGCAGCAGCAGCATTGGCAGCAGAACTGGCGTCTCCAGCCGTAGTGCTAGCCGATGGCGGAGAGCAGGTCGGCTGCAAGATCTTGCTGTTAGATAGCTCTGTGACTGGCTCTGGTAGCTCTGGTAGGGTGGTTTCTGAGTCCACTCAGCAGCGTAGTTCTGGTAGGGTGGGGGGAAGATGGACGGATTGTCACTGCCAGGAGTGTAGTGAGGCTTATCAGAGGCAGGCCCTGCATGTGACTGTATTCGGGGGTGGCTCTAACGAATATGAGGAAGATGGTTTGAAGGATTATGTATTGAAGAACAGCAGCTGCAGCAGCAACACCATCATCCCCCCCACCCCCACCTCTCCTTGCAATGAGAATGAAAAGCCTACCATCATTGCTAGCAGCATCAACAGCAGCATCAGCAGCATCAATAGCAGCAGCAGCAGCAGCAGCAGCAGCAGCAGCATCAAATCCAGCAGCAGCAGTAGCAGCAGCAGCAATGAGAAGCCCACCATCCTTCTCCTGCACGGCTTTGGCGCTGCCTCCTCCTTTTGGACCGACACCGCCGTGCCGCTGCTTCCCAAACAATTTCTGGAGGGTAGACGGGTGGTGGCGGTGGACCTGCTGGGGTGGGGAAAGAGCCCGAAGCCGAGAGATTGTGACTACAGCATTGGGGAGCACGTGAGGTGAGTGTGTGACCTTAACGAAGGTGCATACATGCGTTAGGTGAGGGGGGTTGGCAAGTGATTTTGGGAGTGACTGCAGCTCTGAAGGGAGGTGGTGGTGGCGGTGGACCTGCTGCGGTGGGGGAAGAGCCCAAAGCCGAGGGACTGTGACTTAAGCATTGGGGAGCACGTGAGGTAAGGAAAGGGTGTACTGCGTGCCATTGTGATGTGACTATAGGAGGGGAATGTTACTGCAGAGGTTGGTGGTGGTGAACCTGCTGGTGTAGGGGCAAGAGCCCAAAGCCGAGGGATATTGACCACAGCATTGGGGAACATGTGAGGTGACTGTGCGTGGTGTGCCACTGTGACCTAAAGACAGCGAATATATGCATCTGAGTGGTGGGAGGACGTTGCTTTATGCCACCTGCAACAAGTCGTTGGGGAAGAGCTCAAAACGGCTGGATTGAGCGCAAAGTGCCCGCCCCTCTGGGCATCACCACCTTTCAAATCGTGGATCACAGAATGAGAGGGGCCTTCTAGGTGCAAGTGCGAGTTAAAGCACATGTCTCTTGCCCCCGTCCCCCCCTCCCCCCCCCCGTGCGAGTCAACGTGTTTCTTCCCTTCCCCCCCCCTCGCCCCCCTTCTTTTACCCGAAACAGCTGGATCGAGCGCACAGTGCTGGCCCCTCTGGGTATCACCAGCTTCCGTGTCGTGGGCCAGAGCATGGGCTGCCTCATAGCTGCAAGTCTTGCTGCCCATAATGTGTCTTCGACTTCCCCGATTCCCTGTCCCTCCTTGTTATCAGCTGGATCGAGCGCACGGTGCTCGCCCCTCTCAGCATCTCCTCCTTCCACGTCGTGGGTCACAGCATGGGCTGCCTGATTGATAGCTGCAGCCTGCAGCACGTCTTACTCACCCCACCCCCGCCTTTTCTTTCTCCCGAAACAGCTGGATCGAGCGCACGGTGCTCGCCCCTCTCAGCATCTCCTCCTTCCACGTCGTGGGTCACAGCATGGGCTGCCTGATTGATAGCTGCAGCCTGCAGCACGTCTTACTCACCCCACCCCCGCCTTTTCTTTCTCCCGAAACAGCTGGATCGAGCGCACGGTGCTCGCCCCTCTCAGCATCTCCTCCTTCCACGTCGTGGGTCACAGCATGGGCTGCCTGATAGCTGCAGCCTGCAGCACGTCTTACTCACCCCACCCCCGCCTTTTCTTTCTCCCGAAACAGCTGGATCGAGCGCACGGTGCTCGCCCCTCTCAGCATCTCCTCCTTCCACGTCGTGGGTCACAGCATGGGCTGCCTGATTGATAGCTGCAGCCTGCAGCACGTCTTACTCACCCCACCCCCGCCTTTTCTTTCTCCCGAAACAGCTGGATCGAGCGCACGGTGCTCGCCCCTCTCAGCATCTCCTCCTTCCACGTCGTGGGTCACAGCATGGGCTGCCTGATTGATAGCTGCAGCCTGCAGCACGTCTTACTCACCCCACCCCCGCCTTTTCTTTCTCCCGAAACAGCTGGATCGAGCGCACGGTGCTCGCCCCTCTCAGCATCTCCTCCTTCCACGTCGTGGGTCACAGCATGGGCTGCCTGATAGCTGCAGCCTGCAGCACGTCTTACTCACCCCACCCCCGCCTTTTCTTTCTCCCGAAACAGCTGGATCGAGCGCACGGTGCTCGCCCCTCTCAGCATCTCCTCCTTCCACGTCGTGGGTCACAGCATGGGCTGCCTGATAGCTGCAGCCTGCAGCACGTCTTACTCACCCCACCCCCGCCTTTTCTTTCTCCCGAAACAGCTGGATCGAGCGCACGGTGCTCGCCCCTCTCAGCATCTCCTCCTTCCACGTCGTGGGTCACAGCATGGGCTGCCTGATTGATAGCTGCAGCCTGCAGCACGTCTTACTCACCCCACCCCCGCCTTTTCTTTCTCCCGAAACAGCTGGATCGAGCGCACGGTGCTCGCCCCTCTCAGCATCTCCTCCTTCCACGTCGTGGGTCACAGCATGGGCTGCCTGATAGCTGCAGCCTGCAGCACGTCTTACTCACCCCACCCCCGCCTTTTCTTTCTCCCGAAACAGCTGGATCGAGCGCATGGTGCTCGCCCCTCTCAGCATCTCCTCCTTCCACGTCGTGGGTCACAGCATGGGCTGCCTGATTGATAGCTGCAGCCTGCAGCACGTCTTACTCACCCCACCCCCGCCTTTTCTTTCTACCGAAACAGCTGGATCGAGCGCACGGTGCTCGCCCCTCTCAGCATCTCCTCCTTCCACGTCGTGGGTCACAGCATGGGCTGCCTGATTGATAGCTGCAGCCTGCAGCACGTCTTACTCACCCCACCCCCGCCTTTTCTTTCTCCCGAAACAGCTGGATCGAGCGCACGGTGCTCGCCCCTCTCAGCATCTCCTCCTTCCACGTCGTGGGTCACAGCATGGGCTGCCTGATAGCTGCAGCCTGCAGCACGTCTTACTCACCCCACCCCCGCCTTTTCTTTCTCCCGAAACAGCTGGATCGAGCGCATGGTGCTCGCCCCTCTCAGCATCTCCTCCTTCCACGTCGTGGGTCACAGCATGGGCTGCCTGATTGATAGCTGCAGCCTGCAGCACGTCTTACTCACCCCACCCCCGCCTTTTCTTTCTCCCGAAACAGCTGGATCGAGCGCACGGTGCTCGCCCCTCTCAGCATCTCCTCCTTCCACGTCGTGGGTCACAGCATGGGCTGCCTGATAGCTGCAGTACTCGCTGCTCGCAACAAAGACCGGGTTGTGTCCGTCTGCCTCTTCTCGCCAGTAAGTGACTCTATCAGTCTGACCTAGAAGCTGCACTGCACCTGTACTGTTTCATGTTCACAACAAACACGGGTCACTAACAGCATGGGCTACCTGGTAGCTGTGGCGCTCGCTGCTCGCAATCGAGACTGGGTTGTGCCTGTCTGCCTCTTCTCACCTGTGAGCAATCCTCTCAGTATGCCCCTAGTAGCTGCACTGCACCTGTAGCATGTTCACAGAGGCGGCTCGCAGCAGCATAGGTTGCCTGATTGCTGCAACGCTCGCTACTCGCAATCGAGATCGGGTTGTGTGTGACTGCCTCTTCTCGCCTGTGAGTGTATCTCTCTCAGTATGGTTGTGTGCTTGCCTAGAGTGGTCACAGCACGTGGGTGCCCTGCAAGTCTTGCTGCTCGCATCGGGACTGGTTCGTGTAACTCACTCAGTATGGCGGCGTGCGTTTGTGCCAAGAGGGGTCACACGTCTCCTTGTGCCACTCGCTCTTCCGCTCCCCTCACATCCTGTCTGGTCCCTCCTTGCTTTGAATGGAACACCAATCAGGTGCCATGTTGTTGACTCAAAAGCCACCTCGTTACAATCCCTCACATCCTGTCTGATCCCTCATTGCTTTGTCAAAGTCCACACAGAAATCAATGTAGTGTCAGCAGCAGGTCATGTTGCTTAAGCATCTACAACGCTCCTAGTTCCACTTGCCCTTCTGCTCTCCTCCAATCCTGTCTGTTCTGTTCTTCCCTCCCTGCGACAACAATTTTGAAGTCTAAGTCAGCTCAAACCCTTCTCCGCATCTCCAACCATCGGCCCCTCAATCTCCCTCACAACCCTCCACCCCATCCCTCCACCCCATCCCTCCACCCCATCCCTCCACCCCATCCCTCCACCCCATCCCTCCTCCCCATCCCTCAACCCCATCCCTCCTCCCCATCCCTCCTCCCCATCCCTCCTCCCCATCCCTCCACCCCATCCCTCCTCCCCATCCCTCCACCCCATCCCTCCTCCCCATCCCTCAACCCCATCCCTCCTCCCCATCCCTCCTCCCCATCCCTCCTCCCCATCCCTCCACCCCATCCCTCCTCCCCATCCCTCCTCCCCATCCCTCCTCCCCATCCCTCCACCCCATCCCTCCTCCCCATCCCTCCTCCCCATCCCTCCTCCCCATCCCTCCTCCCCATCCCTCCTCCCATCCCTCCACCCCATCCCTCCTCCCCATCCCGCTCACCCGTCCCCTTTCAGCCATTCATCCCCCCCCGACCGGGCCTCACCCCAGCAGAGGAGGTCTACCGCCACGTCACCCCGTGCTGCCTCTTCCCTTCGCTGCTGTTCGCATCAGCCTCATGTCGTGGTTCGAACACGTGGGGTTCCTCAAGGGGGCACTGTTGAATCAGCCGCTTTCCCCTCAATCTTTTCCGTTTCATCCCTCCTCCCTGCTCCCCCCTGCTCTTCCCTGCTCCCCTGCTCCCCCCTGCTCCCCCCTGCTCCCCCCTGCTCCCCTGCTCCCCCCTGCTCTTCCCTGCTCTTCACCAGCCCTTCATTCCTCCCCGACCGGGCCTCACCCCAGCAGAGGAGTTTTACCGCCACGTCACCCCGCGCTGCCTCTCCCCTTCGCTACTGTTCGGCATTAGTGTCATGTCGTGGTTTGAACACGTGGGCCGGGTCATCTGTGCCTTCCTGGGCCGCTTCCATTGGCTCTCGGACCCGCTCACTGCTTTCCTCCTACCACGCATGGGCGCCAAGTGAGTGTGAGGGCCTGTATGAGTGTGAGGGCCTGTATGAGTGTGAGTTGCCACGTGAGAGCCATTAACTGAGTAGGTGGGGGCCTCCAAGGGCCCTTGAGGCTGAAATCGGTGCATGCTGCTTCCCCCCTGCGCTGCTATTGGGCATCAGCCTCATGTCGTGGTTTGAACACGTGGACCGGGTCATCTGTGCCTTCCTGGCCTGCTTTCATTGGCTCTCTGACCCCCTTGCTCCTATCCTCCTGCCATGCATGGGCGCTGTGTTAGTGTCGGGGTCTGAGTGAGTGTGGGGGTCTGAGTGAGTGTGAGGGTCTGAGTGAGTGTGAGGGTCTGTATGAGTGTGAGCGTCCATGTGAATGTGAGGGTCTGAGTGAGTGTGACGGGTGAGTGTGAGGGTGTAAGTGAGTGTCACATGCACCCAACCGCCTGGCACTGCTACTCCCTTCGCTATTGCAGGCTCCCCCCTTCTTTCCTCTGTGACTTCACCTGTCACACGAATCGCGCCGCCTGGCACTGCTTATGCAAGAGCATCTGTGCCAGCACTGAATCCTAAGCCCAATCTTCCCCCCTGCCCAGTTTTTCTTTCAGGCTCCCCCCATCGTTTCTGTGGGACTTCGCTGGTCACAAACACCACACCGCATGGCACTGCTACTCTTTTTCCCATCTGCGCCGGCGCTGAAGAAATCCCTCCCAATCTTTCTCACTCCAATGCTTTTCTTTCAGGCTCCCTCTGTCTTTCCTATGGGACTTCTCCCACCACACGCACCGCATTGCATGGCACTGCTATTCCTTAATACTCTCCACTTTCCCTGTCTATCTCCCTTCTCCATTGCAGGCGCCCCCCCTCTTTCCTCCGTGACGTCACCCGTCACACGCACCACACCACATGGCACTGCTTCTTCAACACCATCTGTTCTGGCACTAAAGGCTTCCTCCAATCTTACCCACTCCACTGTTTTTCGTGCAGGCTCCCCCCTACTTTCCTCCGGGACTTCACCCGCCACACGCACCACACCGCATTGCACTGCTACTCCTATTCAATACTCTCCACTTTCCCTTTCGATCTCCCTTCTCTATTGCAGACTCCCCCCTACTTTTCTCCGTGACTTCACCCGTCACACGCACCACACCGCCTGGCACAGCTTCTTCAACACCATCTGCGCCGGCACCAACTTCCTGGAACCTTCCCTGCGCTTCCTCCACAGCCCATGCAGTGACAAGAGCACTGCCGCAAGCAGCCATGCCTGTAACAGGAGCGGCCCCAGCCCTGTGAACAGTGAATCTGGTAATGGGACCGTCCCTATGAACAGTGGAGCCTGCAACCCGAGCATCAGCAATGGCTTACATAACCAGATGACTAATACAAGCAGCAACCTTCATCAGAGGAGTGCACCGGTGAACATAGTGCACGGAGTAAAGGACAAGCTGTGCCTGATACAGTCGAGCAGGGATCTGGCTCGGCGCCACCCAAACGTGCGCCTGTGGGAGGTTCGGGGAGCAAACCACCTCACCGTGGTGGTGGGCAGAGGGAAGGAAGTTGCCCAGCAGATTCAGGAGCTCGTGGAGGAAGCTGAGGGCTTGGGATTGTCTGCATAGCATGCTTCAACAGATCCACTGCCGTCGTATCCATTGTTATTACTCGGTATGAGTCCATGGGAAGTTCAGGGACCAAGCCACACCATGATGGTGGTGTTAGAAGGAGATGGCTGTAGGGGTGGATACCAAGCTAATCCTTGGGAAGGTGTGGTGGTGAGGGAGTTTTTTTAGTCGACTCAAAGAGTCAAATCAAAGGTCGCCTAAGGTGTGGTGGTCGTGGAGCTTATGGACGACGTCGAGGCCGTGAAGTAGATGGATTGTGTCTTGTCTAACATCCTTGATGCTCATGGCTTGGCATGGCATGGCACAGTACACAACAAAGGTGGTGGTTTTCAGAACTCAGCCACTAACCACTGAGTTGAAAGGGCTTGTTAAAACTGTTAAAGTAAGAACTGAATAATGAACTAGAAGCGGAAACCTAGAACAAATACTAGATGGTTGTACTCACTAGAAGCATACCCCATTCTAGCCTATAACTTCTACATAGCTAATATGTATAAGTCGACACACCCCCTAGGCTAGACAAGGGGTGAAGCTAAGCAAGAAGCAAATAGCTCTGGGTGGCACTACTAGTCCAACCACTGAGGCAGGGGTCTAGACACCAGTCGGCAAGAGTACAAACAAGACTAAAGCAAGCCAGGGCGGCACTACTAGTCTGACCACTGGAGGTGAGGCCACAAGGCCAGTCTGACAGATATATATAATCAGGATCCTAACAGGTGAGTAGCTACAGGAACAAGACAAAGCTGTACACAGTGCCGCTGATGATCTTTAGGCGCAAGCGCCTTAGTAAAGATATCAGTTGTGTTGGCACCTGAAGCCAAGTGAACTACGCGGGCCTGGCGGCGCTGCTGTAGCTCGCGCAGGAGGAAGTACCGCAGCTGGATATGCTTCGCTCTGCCCTCAAGTCGAGGCTCCTGACACAGGAGTATCATGGCCCTGTTGTCAGCGTACAGGACCGGGGCAGAGCTAGGCCGCTCACCTAAGTCTGTGAGCAAGAAGGTCAGCCAGCGGAGCTCCTGTGCCGCCATGGCACCAGCGTAAATCTCAGCCTCACAGCTGGACTGAGCTACAGACGACGAGCGAGTGGATCTCCAAGAGATAGCACCCGAACCAAGGCTAAAACAGTAGCCCTGCGACGACCTGAGCGTCTCAGAGTCGTCTGCCCAAGAGGCGTCTCTGTGCCCAGTAAGGACCACTGGCCTGCGTCCTCCTAGCACTAACCCCATGCCCGATGTACTAGCAAGATAACGCAAAACCCTCTTAGCGGCAGACCAGTGCTGAGGTCAGTGTCTGCCTGTAGCCACAAAGCGAGCCAGGATGCTGAGAGGGTATGCGAGATCTGGGCGAGTGCAAGTTATCAGGTACATGACGTAACCCACCAGCTCTGCGTAGGGCCACTGGGCTCTACTGGCTCCTCAGGAACAGGAGCAAAGAGCCCATGGTCTACAGGTAGAGGTGTGGGCTGTGCGGAGGAGAACTGAAGACCGAACCTCTGAAGGACCTGACGCACCAAGTGTGACTGTGTCAGAGTGATGGTGCGTGCTGCTCTGTCCTTGGAGATCTGCAGGCCAAGATAGCGACGCAGCTCTCCAAGGTCAGTGCAGGTGTGTCTCTTCAGCAGCTCAGCCTTCACAGAGGCCAGTGCGTCCCTGTCAGCCGTAGCGAAGACCAGGTCGTCAACGTAGACAAGGACGTAGAACGGAGTCTGGCCGGAACGCACAAATAGTAAAGGGTCAGCAGAGGACGGAAAGAACTGCAGGTTTGCTAACGTGGCACGCAACGTGTCGTGCCACTCGCGGGGAGCCTGACGCAGACCGTAGACCGGGCGCCTGAGAAGCCACTGGGTCCCAGGGGGGAAGGTACCAGTGAAGCCCTGTGGTCGGCGCAGGTAGACCTGCTCGTGTAGGCTACCTTCAAGAAAGGCAGCAGAGAAGTCGATGGAGTGAAGCTCGTAGTCGCGCTGTGCTGCTACGTGTAGCAGCGCCCGAAGAGTGGTCATCTTCAGGGTCGGGGCAAAGGTCTGGAAGAAGTCAACCCCCTCGCGCTGACTGAAACCTCTGGCCACGTAGCACGCCTTGAAGACAGGCGGCTCTCTAGGGGGGCGCTTCACCTTGAAGAGCCACTGACCATCGACTACGTTCACCCCAGGCGGGGGAATTGCGTCGACGTAAGTGTCGGTGGACCTCCAAGATGCCATCTCCTGCTCCATGGCAGCTATCCACTGAGAGGCCCAAGGTCCCGAGGTGGCCTCAGCGTAGGTGCGAGGGGTCGGGATGTCGAAGGCGTAGGGGTCACCCTCAGGGACTAACAGCATGGAGCAGAGATGGGGAGCAGCCTCGGAAAGGAAAGCAAGCTCGTACTGCCTATCCTCTAGGACGTCACTGCCAAGGGCAGGAGCACCCCCGACGGACGGAGGATGGGCAGGGTCAGAGACCAGAGCGGTAGCGTAGTCAAGGCGGTGGATAGAGGCAAAGGCAGCGACAGCAGCGCCAAGCGCGTCAAGGCGCGAGACAGGAACAGAAGGGTCGGTAACAAGAGAGGCAAGGACCCGAGGGACAAGGGGACGAGCGGCACGGAGGTAGTCAGAGAACGGAGGAGGGGCAACAGCAAGGGACGAGGGAGGAGGGGAGGGGAGGAGGGGGGACGAGACGAGCGGGAATGGAGCAACATAGGGTGGGAGCGCAGGACAGGAGAGACGGGACGAGCACGGGAGGGACGGCGAGACCAAACGTGGGATGGAGGTGTAGGGTCAGGGGACAGCGGAGGGGACACAGGAGGGGAACGAGGAGAAAGACGGGCCGGAGACGAGTTCGGCGGCGAGAACACAGGACCGTAGACAGGAAGGTCAGCACGTGGTGGGGGAGACACCGGCAAGCGGTCCGGGGAGGGAAGGCCGAGCAGGCGGAGAGCGGAGACCGGCGGCGACGGCTGCTGCAACGGCTTGACCGGAACCCTCGGACCGGCAAAGGCAGGACGACCGTCGCCGGAACCCTCAACAGTAGCACCCCCAGAACCAACACCCCCAGAGCGAGAACCCCCTCCAACACCAGCGGCACCCCCAGGAGCCGCAGGACGAACACCCTCCTCCACACCAGCACCCGCAGGGGCCAAGAGCGGCGGCGACGGCAGCGGCGGCGGCGGCGACGGCAGCGGCAGCGGCGACGGCAGCGGCGGCGACGGCGGCTGCGGCGGAGGCGGCGACTGCGACAGTGGAGGCGAAGACACCGGGGAAGGGGGACGCGGCAAGGATGGGCCGGGGGTACCACCAGAGTCAGCGGACTCCTCAACGGGGACAACCGACGGGAGGGGAGTGACGTGAGAGACACCAGACGGGGCAGGTCGAGGCGGGAGAGGAGCAGGGGCTACCTGGGGAGAGGGAGCAAGGAACAGGGGCGGGGCAACCGGGAGACCTCGGTGAGGGAAGCGGCGGTAGAAGGAGACAGACTCATCAAAGGCGACGTCACGAGAGTGGAGGAAGCGGTGAGACGGCGGGTGGTAGAAAAGCCAGTCAGACGAGTCCAGGGGGAAACCGAGGAAGACACAGGGGATAGTGCGGGCAGTGAGCTTGTCCGTGCAAGAGGCACGAACGTGAGCGAGGCAGCCCCAGACGTGGAACGCAGACGCGTCACCAGGGGACCCGGTCCAAAGGAGGGTCGGCGAAACCTGCGGCCGCTGGGAGCGGGGCCACAGGTTAAGCTGGTGAGCAGCGTAGCGAACAGCGAACGGCCACAGAAAATGGGGTGCAGCGGCATGGATCATGGGTGGTACGGGCGACCTCCATGACCAAGCCGATGCGGCGCTCAGCAACCCCATTCTGTTGTGGTGAGTCCGGCAAGGTGTACGACTGGGTGATGCCCTCCGCACGACAGAACTGTCTAAGCCGACCAGAGGCGAACTCGTCGCCACAGTCAGAGTGGAGACACAACACGGGGAGACCGCGGTGAAGACGCGCAGCCACAACCCACGGGAGAAGAACGTCGGGCACGTCGGCCTTCTGCTCCAGGGGAAACACCGTGGTGTAGCGCGTGTAGTCGTCGACGAGCACAAGAAAGTAGCGCTCACCTCGCGGACCGGGGACAAGGGCAGGGCCCCAAACTTCCATGTGCAGGGTCTGAAGGGGGGCAGTAGCAGGGCGCAGCGAGGAGGAGTGAGGAGCACGGCGGAGCCGGCCCTCGACGCAAGGCGTGCACGGTGGCGCAGTCGAGGGAGGAAGGGCAGGGAGCGACGCGGGGAGACCTAAGACAAGACTCAGGGTGACGCAGACGTGGGAGAGCAGGGTGACCTAGGCGGTGGTGCCAGAGGAGGGACGGGTGAGTGAGGGACCGACACGAGCAAGCTGCAGCGACCTGGGAGGACGCACCAACCGGGGGGGAAGCGGTGTCGAGGGTAAACAGACCTGACACCGGGTCCTGGGGGGACGTCGCAAGGGGGGAACCTGAGACAGCCTCAGAACAGACAGCGAACCGCTCGTGCCCGGGGAACGTTGTGGTGACGCCGAGGTCCTGGAGACAGCCGACACCAACCAGGTTCCTCGAGAACGAGAGAACGTTGAGGCCTGTAAGGGAGCCCGAGGGAACTGCTGGACACGGGAGGGACATAGAACTGCGAGCGATGACAGGACCCGCAGAGGGGTCAGCGAGAGAGACAACAGCAGGCGTAGCAAGCGGCGTGAGTGCGGAATGGTCGCGGAAGAAGCAGGCAGAAGCACCGGAGTCGAGAGTGAAGGACATCGAAGCAGTGGCAGAGGCGGGGAAAGGAGCCAGTGCATAGACTAGGCTAGGCAAGCTGGGCAGTCCTACGCCTGACGCAGCAGGGGAGGCTAAGCTACACAACGGTGCAACACCTAAACTAGAGTACACAAGGTAATAAGATCCAGCAACACTAGAAGCATCAGAATACAAGGTATGCAAAGCAGCACCTATCTGATCCATGTCTTACTCAAAGATCGGCACGCCCTGGCGGAGCAGGCTGTGCCAGTCGGGGAGGTTTGGGGCCGGGCCAAAGGGACGACGAAAGAGATCATCGAGGCGATGGAAACAACGGGCGGTCGGGTGCGGGCGGTGGCACAGAGTGCCGCGGAGAGGCCCGGTCTGAAGCTGGTACTGGCAAGTGACAGCACAGGAGCCAGACTACCTCCGGAGGTGCCGGGCCAGCCAGGCGGGAGACGGGCCCACGGCTGCGGCGACTGCTGCTGGGACTGCGGCTGCGGCTGGGACGGCGGCTGCTGCTGGGGCTGCTCCTGCTGCGGCTGGGGCTGCTGCTCCTGTCCACCGGTGGTAGTCCCCTCAGGCGGACTACCGTCACGACGACGACGACCACCACCTGCGCCACCACCCTTACCTCCCTGGCGACCACGGCCAC